ACAGCAACCAAGGACGGGCAGTTAGGCACTAGAACTGGCTCCCCAGGGAAGTGATCATGGCACAGAGTTTGATGGAGCTCAAGAAGCATCTGGATAATGCTCTCAGACATATGATCTGAACTTTGTGTGGTCCTGTGTGGAGTTGGAATTTGGGTTCAATGGTCTAAATTGGTTCCTTCCAACTTGGAATACCCTATGATTCTGTGGAGGACAGACCTCAGGAGGGAAAATTATCTCTAGAGCTTTCTTCTTTTGTTGCTAATTTTGTAGATATCAAGTCATGCACTTGAGATGACAGGGTGCTCAAGAACAAGCTCTGGCCTGCAAAGGGCTTATCAGCTAATAAAAAGTCAGAAAGCATGTGAGAGATATGGTGGTCCAACATATCAGCTGTCATGTCCAGATTTAGTTGGCATCATATTGAAGGAGAAAACAAGAAAAGATTTGTAGGTGGAATAATAAATTGGGCTGGTAGAGAGCTTCTCATGTGCAGAAGGTAGCAAGGAGAAAGCATGGATGTGTTTGTGTGGAAGAAGGATGCTGGAATGTGCTGGATATTGGTATGTACTGCTGCACTGATGCAACACTGGTGGCCAGAGAAGTGGAAGGAAGGGTGGGCCTTCAAAGGAAGACAAGGAATTTAAATGTTCAATTACAGCACTGCTACGTGTATAGCAGCACATGATGTGGGATTGCTGTATTTTATCCAATTACCCATGTGTAACTCAGAGCTATTTACAAAAAGAGAGGAAACTGTTAGCTGTTCGACTGAGGAAGGAAAACTGAAGCAATAATCTAAAAAAAAAACATAGTTGCTGTTCATCTCAGTCATCAGCAAGGACTGCTTTAAAATTCTGCTATCTTAAAATCTTACTAGAAAATTCACAGAGACAGCTGAATTTGGCACTTCTGTTAGAAAGAAAAAACAAAACAGGGTAATCCTTTTTTCCCATTTTGCAGATGCTTTGGCACTATTCATATTTCTGTCTGGATGCTTTCAAGAATGCAGTATTTTAGTTTTAGAACATCTGAAGGAACCCCCAGGGCCTTGGCAGCAGCACCTTCCCAGAACTCCTGGTTGAAGCATGAGCGTGGTGGAAGGCACAGAGGTGAAATGCAACCTTCCTGTGTGCTTCTGCTCCACCTTCACTTCCAGCAATCAGCCTGTGATGGAGGAATCTACAATACCCCAGTGATTGTCCTCCAGGCTCGTATTCCTGCAGGGATTGCCGTGGTCAGAATAGCTGGGATGTTTTCTGCCTTGAGATTTTAGATGATGGATTTTCAGAGTGAAAGGACAAGAGCTGACTCCATATTAATGCCAAACTTTAAATGTTTTGACTATACAACTGAAACACCATTACCTATTCCCCACAGAGCATCCACTCTTTCTTTCTCTCTCCTCCACTTCTCCTCTCCACGCTGTAGCCTTTTGTATGTCTCAGGCATTAATCCCTCGCTGCCGGGGTGTGTAAATTAAAGAATAATAGAGCTGCAGAGGCATAAGCTTGCAATGATGGGGAATGTGTTTGTCTGCTAAGAAGCAATTTCAGCGAAAATTAACTCAATTTCATCTGAAATAGTGAAGACCGGCATAAGCTGGCAGATCCCCGAGGATGGTAAAATTACTTCGTCAAAGCTCTGCTTGCTTAAATTAACCAAGCAAGCACTCCAGGTTATTGGCAAGATGCAGCTAGTAACTAGGTTTTAATAAACAAAAATAGCTTTTTGGATAAATAAGGAAAGTGCAAAGTGTCTTATGTATTCTGTTGATGTTTTCATCTGTATGACCTCGACAGCAAGACCTTCTCGTTCCTGCAGGCGCATTCTTTGATTCCCTGTGTCCAACTGGTCTCTCTTCTGAGTCTTAGCAAACAACCTGAAAGTGCTTCTGGAGACGATGTAAGATTAGCTTTTATTCCAGCATCTAACAGACTGTTTGCAATACCTAGGTGAGAGAACAGCAACACCTTTTAGGGTTATTTCTGTGTTTTTCAAAGTTGGAAGATGACTATTCTTGATTTAAATTGCTTCACCTCAAAATATAATGCAGTGTCAGGACAAGAGTTAGTCTACACTGTCACTGATACAGCAGATTCCCCAGCTGAATACATTGCTGCCAATTGGCAAGTCAGGATGTGAGCTCCCTCCTCCTGCTAGGAGTAAAGGTCCAAGGGAAGTGAAAATTTCATTGTCAGAAAGATTGATTCAAGGAGCAGCTCAGAGAGCTTGTTAATCACTTGAGAATATGCTGTAAGTTCTTTTGGTGGTTGTACTGTCGTGTTTGGTGGTTGTTTTTTTTTTTTGGTTTTCGTTTGTTTGTTTTGATTTGGTGGTTTTTTTTGCTATTAATAGCTTTTCTTAGGACTGTGTTTTACAGAAGCATTGTGCTGTTGGAGGTTATGATCACTAGGAGGGGTCTACTGTAAAATGCATGTTGGGCTTATTGCTCTGTCTCTAGTCTACAAGCATCAGGACAGATTTTTTTTTTCTTCTGGATTCCGTTCCTCTCGGTACAGTGATTTGGGTTTTGGGAATAGTATTCATCAGAAATACTATCAGAAATATCCAACCCCCAAAGCAGGAGGGTTGGAACAGGATGATCTTTGAGGTCCCTTCCAACCCAAGCCATTCTGTGATTCTATATAATTCAATGATCCTATGATCATGTAATTGGTTAGGAGCGTAAAAGGCTTAAAAACCTATTTGTTGGAAACAAGTATGAAAAATCTCCCCAGAAATGCAAAAATACATCACTGTTTTGACTTTCTTAGGCTCCTGCCCCTCCATCAGTATTCCATGAGCACTTGATATTTAAAAGCTACCCTTTGTATGAATGTAGAATCATAGAATCAGAATGGCTAGTGTTGGAAGGTACCTCGAAGACCATCTAGTTCCAGCACCTCTGCCATGGGCAGGGTTACCACCCATTAGATCAGTCTGCCCAGGATAGATTGCTCCGTAATGTTCTAACCAATGGGTGATTATTGTCAGTGGGTGATATGTCTGTTCTTGGCCACAGGCTCCCATTGAATGGGATCATTAATGGTTGGTTGAAAGAAGGGAGAGCTGCAGAACTGTCAGACCAGCCAAACCAGAGGATGAGATGAGACCCAAGCATACCTGATTTATCCCCTCACCACTACACTCCCCTGGCTACTTATTTCCCCCCTCCCTTTCTACTATAAATCTCAGTATCTGCAGAAGGGAAAGCAGCTGTCTACAAGATTTGCTGAGCCATCCACTCATTAAAATGTTCCACTGGCAAATAAATACTTTCTCTTACTGATGCATATTTACAGTTTGGAGATTTCTTGTATAGAACAATCCGAGGTTATACTTTTTAGCTTTGCTAGTTACAAATGTTGGGAGAAGACATCTGGCTAATGACCTTGGTTACTGCCATGAACCATAGTGACCTGTTTTGGGAGACAGCTGGCAGCCCCTCAACAACAACAACAGCAACAAAATAGCAAAACAAAGGATAAAAAATACAGGACCTGCTCCATGCAAAATCACCTCTCTTTGATAGGACTGATTGCAGAAGTGACAAGAAACTTGTCATTAAATCCAGCAAATGCATTTGGAGCAAGGAATAAACTGCCTGGAGCAGCAGTGCCCCATGGGTACAAACGTGCCCTACTGAGACATTTCATCGCAGCCCTCCTCTATTGGGCCGTCAGTCACTTTTATTTCTTTTCACTGCTAGTGCAGTGGCCGTGGTCAGAAAGGTGCTGGCTTTAAAACAACAGTGTCAAAACTGGTGAGGAAAATAAGAGAAGCCCACACTATCACCAGCCAGGCTGGGCCCTTTGCAGAGCTGCTATCTGCTCCCTGCACACTGCACCTGCATTGTATCTGCTCCATAGGCTGATAAGACCCCACTCATCTATTGTTAGCCCCACTGAGCCAATCTAGCTCCATTTGAGCTTGCTGGATTTTGTTCTGCATCGTGTATCAGTGACAACTTCCAGCTATGGCCTTGCTTTAAAAACCTCACTGGTGAGGGTGCATGGAGCTTGAGGAGTGAGGCGTATCTCTAAGCACAAATGGAATTCAAAGCAACTGGAAAACAGGCTTTGAAAACTGAGGGAATATGCTGTGGAGGCTGTCAGAAGGGACAGGATAAACATGGGACATCAGGATCACTGCAGCTGACGCTGCTGTACAGGGCTGTACCTGGAGGAGAGTCACTGGATACAAAACACAGTGGTACGCCTGCTATAAAAGCAGCAGAAAGGGTGATGTGTGGTTGTGGCACAGCAGTGACACTGAGTGGCTGGAGTGTAGTGTAAGCGATCTTGGCTTGGAGCTCCATTTCTGCTGGATTTCTCCAGGGCTCTTGGCTGGAGAGGAGATTTTGCAGGGGTGTATTGAAGGAAGCCAAGAGAGTGGTGAGGTTGACGGACTCATGCTGAGCCCTTCTCAGCCCTTTGGAAAGTCTCCTGTGGTGCGGCAGTGTCTGAGGCAGGAAACAGAAGAGATTTCTGGTGGGATATTAAGAAAAACTTCTCTGAAGGAGTGGGTGGGCACTGGCACAGGCTGCCCAGGGAGGTGGTGGAGTTATTCCTGGAAGTGTTCAAGAGCCATGCAGATGTGGCACTGAGGGACGTGGTTAGTGGGCAATACTGATGGGAGGTGGACGGTTGCACTAGATGGTCTTAGTGGTCTTTTCTAACCTTGATGATTCTAAGACTTACCTCCTGAATTTCAAATAGATGGTCTCTAACTAAGCAGAGCTGCAGGCCAGGCCTCGAAGAACTACAGTAATTTGGACAATAAATAAGATGGAGCCTTCAACTACATTTTTATTAATGAGATGACACATTTTAAAATCAAATTACTTTGATACTCTTGGCTCAGGGAAGTCAAGATGCGGGGGAAAGCCAATCACATAATATGAAACAGCTCACACAGTAGTTTTTGTGTATTTCATCTTTAATGAACCTGCCATTTTATGAGTCAGCACTGATGGGAAATGTGATGGTCTCATTTCAGGAATTCTCCTTACGCTTCAGGTCTCTGCCTGCCAAGATGTCATCGCCTTGCTCTTTGCTCTAGGACTGCCATGGTTCCCTCCAGCCCTTTTAGGCTTTCCTGTTTGAAGATTAACCCTACAGTCTCCTGCTGGACAACTTAATTCAGCTGAGGAGAAACAGCAGTACATGACAGATAAGAAAGTAATTGCGCCCTGAGGAAGCATGAGGAGTGCCTGCGTCATATATACTTGCTTTACAAAACAGCAGCTACTTATTCAAAGGAAGCGGCCTTTGGAATCACAAACAGAGTATATGGAAAAGACGTAGTTGCAGGAACCTCATTAGATTTCTAACATGGCTAAGCAGGGCAGGTTCTATCCTCGTTTTCTGCCATTAGAGATGGTGGAAAAACAGATCGTGTATCTCTTTGTTTTCCCGTGCTAAATATTTTGTGGCCAGATCACAGGAGGAGGGCAGAGAGATGGAAAATTCATGGTGAGAAGCCTGAGAGGAAGAGACAGGAGAGTTGGGATTAGGCAGTTTAGGGTGAGGAGGAGATGGTAGTTCCAAGATGGGGCTGAGATTCATCTAGATTTGTTTTTCCCAGAGATAGAAAGAAATCACACACTTCTTTTTTTTTTTTTTTTTTTTCTTTTTCTTTTCTTTTTTTTCTGAGGGTCTTAATGATGTTTAGCCTTCAAGCTTCACAAAATGTCACCCATCACGTGCCCCAGAGATTAGAGGCACCCACCTAGCAGCTCGTGCTGCTGTCTCTCACCTTTGCTGTTAGAGGGGCAAATGCATGGAAGGATTACGGACATCCAGAAAAGAAGAGCAGACAAAACCATGGAAAAAAAAATCATCAAGATTTATTAACCAAGAGATCCCTCCTTTCAAGTGGGAAAATACCAGGCAGAGCTCAGAGCACAGCAGCCTCCATTCCCTCACCCTCTTTGTGCCCTTTCCTTGCTGCTGTTACAACGGGACAGCAGGCTGGATGGATGCTTGACTTTGCTCACTGCAAATGTTCTTCTCCTCTTTGAACCTCAAAGGTAAAAATAGTTAGAGATCTCTGACTTGATTCAAGTGTCTTTCAGATGGGAAAAGCTTTCAATTGCTTCCAGCCTGGGGCCAGTGCAGTACCAGTGACCATGAAATGGAAGGCTCTGCATCCTGTATTAACCAGTCACAGCAGTCTTGTTCTCTCTTCTTTGCCTTGCCTTGCCTTTGCTTTTTTCATCCTCTAATGAAGCACAAGTATCCGGAAGGAATGCATGCTAGGGGTGACAGGGAAATGTCCTTCTGATCTCTCCTCTTGAAGGAAGATTTGGAACATTTTAATAAAGTGGATTAAGAACTTGGACACAAAAAATAACCTGTTTCCCCATGATGGGTGCTTTAATCTTCTCCCTGAGCTGCTGACAAAAGCTTTCCTTAAAGAAGCCTCCTGAGCACAAAAGGGAGAATAAAAGAATGGGAGAATAGACAAAGATTTGCAAGATGTTTAAAGGCACCCCCAAAAAAATGAAGCTGCTTGGGTGCTAATTGTATTCACTATTCCCAGAGCCTGTTTTCCTCTTACACTTCTGATTTTGGATCAATGCTAGAGACTGCAAAACTAACCCAAGGAAGGAAAAAGCCTTTGATTAGACAATCTGAGTGATAAAGAAACGTATTGAACAGAAAGCACTGTCAATGAGCTACTCAATGCAACAATTAGAAGGTGAAACTTTTTCTTTCCCTTTCTAAGCAAGACACACCGATGCTCTGCTGAAAGGAGGTGGGTGGGAGGAATTTTTCTTGTTTTGGTGCCCAATTGTCTCCTGGACCTTTTTCATTCACATCACCCAATGTAGACTATCTGACATTTGAAGGGACACTCCTGGTGTTTCCAGTAACAAGCTTTCTGTGACAATAAATGAATAAAGAGGTGAAGAAAAATGTTATCTGTGCAGCTGTCCCTGGAATGTTTCTGTTTGAAGAGTCTTTCCAACACTGATGGTCATACAGCTGAAGTTTTGCTCTGATGGGGAATCCCACTGTTCCATGAGCATGACGTGAGAATAAAACCTGAGTTGGTTGGTTCAAAGAGCCAACATGGTAAGTTCATTTATTTTTTTCCTGTCTTTGTGGCCAGATTACTATTATAAAACTGAATATTTTAAATAATAAAAATAATTTTTCCCTTCCCAGATAAGGTGTTTTCAAGCATGGGAGTATCTAAATCAGGCGTTTGGTCTGATTTTTGACTGGTCCTGTGCGGAGCCAGGAGTTGGACTCAATGACCCTTACTCTCTTCCAACTTGGGATATTCTATGATTATATGATAAATGTGGGGTGGTTCGATAGGTGACTCTGAGCTACTCCGTGGGAACCAGTGGCCGGGGAAAAGAGAACATAGTTAACATCCCTTTGGCATGATTGTCAAATTACATCCTCTGTGAGTCTTTGCAGACTCTTGACTGCCCCAGTCCTGCAGCACTGAGAACAGCGTCAGTTTCTTGGACTTCATTTTGAGCTGATTTTCTTCAAGAACATGGTTTCTCTTTCAGCCTGGACTGTACCTACTCCAATCCAGGACAGACCCTGTTCTGCTTTTGCTGTGGTTCTGCAGAGGCAAAAGATACCACCCTAGGCTCTCTTGAAACATGGGTAAGAAGGTAAGAGTGAACCAAATCTTATGCCCACCAGGCAGCTACAGATATCAAAACAGCATGAGTCCCAAGGGTAGCTTATTTATTCCTTGACTTAAGCTTGTCTTTGCTGCCTAGATCTCACAGTAAGAGAGGAACTGAAGAGTTTCTGCATCTCTCCCCCTTGCAGTTTCAGGTGTGTCTACAGCCATTTACAGCCAGAGGTCACAGTTGCTGGGTTCACATTTCATTCATCTGTGTCTACTTTTGTAAGATGAACTCTCTCATTTTTGCCCCCTCACCTCTAAGAGGCTGAAGTCATCCCCTCCAGTCCCCAAGAGGATTTTGTTTTCTGGTTCTCTCTGTAAGCATCAGTTGCCTGCAAAGAGCTGGGGCAAGTTCTTTGGGTTATGGTTAAGCTCCATTGCTCTCTCATGCCCTACCATGCAAAAATTCACATAGACTTGTCCAAGCTGCTGCTTTCTTTCTTCTGCTGCATAAAAGGGGAAAGAAAACCAAACAAAGCAGAGATAAAACCCCAGCATGTTGTACAGATTAGAAGCAAAAGAAAAAATAGGAACATGGAGAAGAGGGCTGGTAGGGAGAGCCCTGAGCTGACCCTGCAAGGGGCTCCCTGTTCACATCTTTCACTACATCTTCTTCCCTCCAATAAAAACTGCTAATCCTGAGCATCACCCAGTATCACTGCTCTTCATTCCTGTATGTTGCCCATAGTCTCCCTTTAGTCCATGAGTTCTCTATGGGGCAGCCGACAACCCTGTGCCAATCCACACCTTCTTCCCACAGCACCCTGGTTTGGTGCCCATAGCACATATTCACAAACTATTCATTATCTTTTTTTTAAATACCATTTCCCCTTTTCTATACACCCTTGCTACTACCCTGCCTCTCCCCGTCCTTCTTTCTGTGCACCATCTTGCCCAAGAATGTCCTTTTGGAGAGGGAGGGTCCTATTTTTTTTCTGATTTGTGGAAAAAGAATGAGTACAGGAACTCTGTGAGTTTTGTTTTCAAGCACACATTTTGTTTTGATAAACTGCGTTGTTTTGTCTATGGAAAAGTATTAACTGCTTACATCTATTTTCTCAAAGACCGCACATGAATATTAAAAGGGATTTATTCCTACAATGGCTTCGGGCAGTTGAGTAATCCATTATAGGCTGTCATATCACACTGTGGTAATGTAAAAAGCTGGGAGTCCCTCCAATAATATTTATTAGCAATACAGGCACATTTTCACTTTACAGGTTTTTTTCTCCCTTCATGTGATAAGTTCACATATAAAAATATTCATTAGTTTCTTTAAGCTGTTGCTTGATTTTAATTACGACGGTGATAATGATGATTTAAAAGAGTAACTGAATTTCACGCAAGTGATAGTGACCTGGTTTATCACATTTATTTCAATATATACTGGGATGCTTAATTTAAGGCCCGCAGGCCACCTGGACAGTTCATTTGGCTTTTATTTCCTTCCCTCCCTCCTTGGTGTTTCGTGTGGGTACAGCAGTGCAGGAGCACTATGAATGTACTACTGCAGTGCCCACAGTCCTGCTTTGGGCATGGAGCAAAGGGGGTGAGGAAGGTGGGAGAAGGCTTATCTCCTTCACCAAACCCATAACCTCATCATGTGTCCCTTCAATACTTGTCCTTGCAAGTCAGCTGATATGTAGCCATTTTGGTTGCTTTTCCTTTGACTTTTTTCCACAGATTCTGACCTCTTTCGATGTTAGCTGGAGTTTTTGATTGCATGTAAGACTTCGATGGTGTTGTCTGTTCTTCACATGGGGTTGGAGCTCAGCAGTCGTTTCTGTTCTCAGCTCCAAGACCCAGCAGAACCTCCCGCTGTGTTACTCACTTGATGAGTGAACTCCCATCAAGGTGCTAACCCTTGAGATGAGCTCTCTGAATAGCTTCATTATTTCCCTGTGGAGTCAGCCAGGAATCCAGCGAGGACACCAAGTGCAGTGATACTGATGCTCATTCTACTGGGACCCAAGCCAAGAGCAGCTCCTTATTCCACAGAAGTTGTTGAGTTGCTGCTGAAGGATGACAAATAGTGGTCAACAGTGCACTGACCTTCCTCTGAAATCATGATCCCAAGGCAAAGAGCTCCATTTATCCAGAGCACACTAGTGCCAGTTGGTTATTCTGCATCGCCTTCAATCAAATCTTGCTAGAAGAGCACCTCCTAGTGATTTTGCTGTCCTTGGATGGATGCAGGCATGCAGAGAAAACACTTGCCTTCGTCTCACAAGATGTGAGCAGAGCCTGACCTGCTGATGAATACATCCTTAAGATAGAGTGTGTAAGAAGTCCACATTATTCTATTTGACAGGCTGTACAGGCTGTCATGACTTTGAAAGTACCCTATGGGATGAAAGGTTTTCTCCAGAAAATCTTGGCTGAGAGGTGTTAAAAGGCAGCTGGGTAATCTAAAATAGCTTTGGCAAGTATAAGCAAGGTGATTGTATGTAGGGCTGGTTAGTCCCCATGGATCACCTAGGGCTTTGCAATTCCTGCAGAGTTCTGCAAGAAGAGAGGATTTTTACTGTGTGTGTGGAGAGAGGGTGCAGAGGCCAAAGAATGGGGGAAAAGAAGTTTAGGAGCATCGCTACTGTTCTCTACTTTACCCCATTTGATTTCACCCGTTTCCTTCAATTCACAGCTTTCTTTTTCATTTACCTCCAGGTGTAAAACCTCTCCTCTCCCCTCTGTTGTCACTTCCCTGTTTTGTGGGTAAAAATCTGTGTTCTGAGGTGCCAGAACAAGTCAGCTTTTGTTTATGCATGGCCACATGCGGGATCAATATCTGCAGGTGTGTGAATTGTGCATGCATGTGGATGCAGGTGGTCCGTGATATGCATGGATGGGAGCGTGCACTAAAACAGCAGGGCTTGCCTCCATGCTCCCTTTGTAACTCATTCTTCAGCCAAAACTCCCTGACCTATACTTGTGACATAATGATAATCTCCACAAGAGCCTATTACGATTATATAAATAAACCCTTTCAACATTATTACACTGCACAGAGGAGAAACAGAAAGTGATGAACCATAGAGGACTAGGGGGAAGAAATAGTTGTGCAAACAGTCAAAGATATCTAACTGATCATAAAGGGAGTAATGATGCTAAATTGTCTGCAAACAAGCAGGATATTCTTTAAGATACCTCATTTGTTAATATTAATCAGGAAGATGATCTCCCAGCTAGTCTCTGGATAGAGTTCTCTTGATGAAGCTTGTTATAGGCCAAATGGTAGTGTTCAGACTTGCAGATCACAGCCAGGCTTAACTTTTCTTACTAGGTGGATACCAAGAGCTACTCAGAGCTGGTGGTCAAGGCATCTGTTTCCCTGCCTTTTAAAAAGTACTTATTTGCCAGAATGCCTTGGCTTTGGATTAACTGTTTTAACTCAGTATTGAAGTGTGACCAGCTTGCGTGGACTGGATGGTATGGAAAAGACTTTTTTCCACAGGTTGTCTTTGAAATCCATGCTCTTTTCTCTCTTTGAGGTCCTACAGTGGGGCCTATCTATGGACTTTTTGAAGATCAGGGCTGTGTAACACATCACACAGTGCTTGGGAGAGGCAGGAGAGAAGTGGACAGCTTCCATGTATCCTCTCTCTTCAAAGTGAAATGAAATTCTGTCTCCCAGAAGGAGTCTGTTACCAGCTCCCCTGATTCTGATGCCCTCCATGTGCTCTCTGTTGATTGCACTGGCCTCCAGTGCCTGCCGTGTGAAGCTCTGTGCCATGTTTTGTTGCTTTGTGGCCAGCAACAATGAGTGACCAAGGCCAGCCAGTCCTGCTTCCTGCCCCTGCCACTGAGCTGCTTCTGGAATCTAAGTGGAATCAGTATACAACAGCGCACAGCTTTATTAAACACATCCATTCTCTCTGGATGGCTGCAGAAGGCTTCATTCTCCCTCCCTATATGTAAGACTTGGCATGGATTTTTTTCTTCTTTCCTCACCCCAGTAATGTGGCACTCATTGCGGTTCTCCTGAAGTTCCAGACTGAGATATAAGGTGTTTGTTTGGTAACATGGTATAATCCTGACTTGAACATGTCAAAACAGCAGCTCAGCTGCTTGCCCCACACCAGCACGCTTGTCCTCAGCAGCAGGCATTTTCCCCAGGACTAGTTGGAAAACCAAGACCTGGTGCCTGGATGCCATGGCGGATGCAAACCTGGAGGCATTAGGTTGCAAGAGAAGCAGCGGAATGAGAAAGCTGTTCCCTGAGCCAGCCACAAAGGGCTCATTAGCCAGCAGCTATTTAGGCAGTGGCACTGCAGCAACTCTCTGCTGGAAAAAGCTGATTTGTGGCGGTTTCCTCTCCACACCAAGTGTGCACTGATCAGGAATATAAATACCGTTAATCCCCAGCGTTAATACCAGCAGCTTTGATCATCTTTCCCCATTATCACTCCCTTGCTGTTAATAAAAGTGATAACCATGGGGGAGAAGGGAATGGGGACTGGACTAATCAGTTTGCAGTTGGCGATGCTGTAAGTAAACTGTCAGGTCTGGAGATTAGGGATCTGAGGAAACCCTGGGGAGATGGTGTTAAATAAACACTTTTGTTCATGCAGGTTGGGAAAACGAGACACCCAAGGCAACCTGGCCTCAGTGACAGTGCCTCTGGACATCAAGGGGGAGCTCAGGAACAAATTTCTGCAAGGAACTTTCTACAACTTTCTAAGGTATGCTTTTCTTCCTGTTTTCAAACCAGTTACAGTGATTTATGGGCTCCTGCTCCTTCTTCGTCCTCCTTCTCTGGAAGAGGCTGACCAGGGAATTTCTGGATACCCCATCCCTGGAGGTGTTCAAGGCCAGGTAGCATGGAGACAACCTGATTTAGTGTCTGATTTAGAGATTGGCAACCCTGCCCATTGCAGGGGAGTTGGAACTAGATGATCTTTAATGTCCCTTTCAACCCAAGCCATTCTATGATTCAATGATTCTCTCACTAGTTACTTAGTGGCTGGCCTGGTGTCTCACCTATGAAAATTATCCCCAAGCTTTGGAAAGATTTTTCTTGGGTGAAGAGCAGAGAGAGTATATTTCCCTGCACAGTTCCTTGCTGATAGCTAAGACAAACTGGGCAAAACAGATCAAGATTGATAGTATTTGCTTGTGATGGTTTCCTGATGGCATTTTGTGGAAGAATGGAGGGATAACTAATTTGCTCACCAGAACCGTAGTTTACCTTCGAAAAACGTAATTGAGTCTATTGCCTTCATATTCAAAAGATAAATGTGCCTTGAGAATGGCCAATTGGGTCTGATTGTGTCTGCAGAGAGCCTGAGAATAACGAACAGCATGTGCATCACTAGCACATAAGTTACAAACTCTCTTGATATGCACTTAGGTGGCCCCATTATTAACCAGCACTGCAGAACTTAAAGGGCAGGGATGCCCCTAATGTGAAAGCACAAAGGATCTATAGGAAATAGCTCCTTATTCTGGTCTGGAGGAGGGAATAACACACCTGGTAAATCTGGATATGGAATCATAGAATCATTAAGGTTGGAAAAGACTACTAAGATCATCCAGTCCAACCATCAACCAATTGCCACCGAGCACAGAGCAGAACCTGGGGGGGGGGGGTACCAACAACTTTTGTTTTGGGACTGATTGTTGTTGACAGCAAAGCTGGGAGAGGAAACCAGGAGTGTTTAAACCCTGTAAGAGGAGTGGGGAGCCATAGCTCTTGCTTTTTGCACTGGCTGCTTGGGCTGATAACAGCCAGTGGAAGCAGGACTGAGTGCAAGACAGACAGTGGCTCTGTTCTGTAATTGCAGTGTGAGGCTGTGAATAAACAGTGTCCCGCAAGTGGAGGAAGCCTTTCCTGTGCCCATCTATCAGAGCAACACCCACAGTTGGATCAAGGCACCAGCTGGAGCCCAGTGTTCCCATTCCTGTCTGCCACTTGCTCAGCCCCATCCACCAAGAGCCCTTCCCCACTGTATTATTTTCACAGTTCCTTATTTTGTAGTGGCATCGAGCCCAGAGCTTTCACAGGAAAGGGCAAATGGTCGGGGACTCATTTTAACAGCGAAAGGGAACTTGCAAGAGCTTCACAAACTTCTGGATGGGGCCAGAAGGTCTATTTTTCTGTGGCAGCTGGTCAGAGATAGCGAGAGCAAGATTCGCCTGAACCTTTGATAATTAAACTCTCAGCTGCCGAAGAGCTGGCTGCCTGGCTGCCAGATAAATGCTGTTTCCCTCGAATTAGTGTGGAGCCAAAGTGACATCCAATGGCTGGTTAGGCTCATCAAACTGGCTGTTCTCTACAGCTATCCCAAGGGATAGAGCCCAGGCGGCCATTTGCCAATGGAAAAAGGCAAGTACAAATGCCGGGCACGTATCATCCTGCTGAATTTATCACATCTGCAGTTCAGGTACTTTTAGACTTCCTGATGTCATAATACTCCTTTATACAAGAGCTTTCAGGGAAAGCTCCCAAATATGCATTAGACGGAGATGTAATAAGACAGGTCCTGTATATTAAACAGCTACTGCCAGCTCAAATTGAGTCCCAAATTTAGGGTTGAAATGAATGAACTATTACAAAGCCTGACAACATCAGAAATATTCTTGCGCTATTTATTTTTTGGACAGGAGTTGGAAGAAAAATGGTGGGGGTGTCATTTCTGCAGGGGAAGGGTAGTGCCACCTGCAGGGCTGGGAAGTGGCAATCCGAGAGCCAAGCACTGATAAACTTGTGCCTAACGGTGAGCCTCATCCCCCAAGTAGAGAGAAATTGAAAATGCAAACAATGAGGTAGAAAGAGTGGAGAACAAATTGGATTTCAAAAATTCTTCCTGTTTCAGTCATCTCAGGTACTGCTGGATTTCAAATCCCAGAAGTGTGGTGGTGGTTTTTAAGCTGACAGTGTTCCCTGTGCTCCAGCTGAATGTGTCAGGACAGAGAATTATTATTACAAAGGCACAGAAGGAAAGGATGCAGTTTGTTAGGTGCCAAGCAGTGTCCCTGCCTGCTAAGAAACAGCAATGCTAAGACAGAATAAAGAGCAATGTTAAAACAAGGCTAAAGTGCTGCCTTGCAAAAGGTGACACTGGGAAACAGATATAAACACCAGCAGTGTACTGGGAGGGCAGCAGAGCTTTATTGTTCTTGGTTAGCCCTTTTTTTTTAAATACATAATTTGCCTGAGCAAATGCAGGGTGACTGACTCCTTCCTTCTGTAGAATGTTTTCTTGCTCAATCCTAATCCTGTACATCTTGAAAGTCTCTGACATGGGTGAACAGGTGAGAATTGTGGTGAGAGCTAGGGAGCTGAGCTGTGTGTGGCTTGGCTCAGCTCTGCATTGGTGCTGACCGATGAAGCAGGCTGGGTGGGCTGCCTGGAGATGGTTCCTCTCTGTAGTTATTGAACACCTACTCACCAGGGTTGAGTGATCACCTGGCATTTAATTATTAAGTATCAGTAAATCAGCTGGAAGTGTGCCTGCCTGATGCCTGGTGGATGTGAGTGGTGAGGGCTGTGCTCAGAGGCCACACACTGAGCAAAAAGGCTGTGCATTGGGCAGATTATAAAGACTACTTGTGTTGACTTTGTGCTTGAGAAAGAGGAGATAAATGCCCCAGCAATTCAGCACAAAAACATCTATTTCAGTGCAACCACCAAACACCTCAGTGCTGGGAACATATATTTTTCTGCAAATCAAAATGTGTTCTTTCAAAACCATATGTCACTGATGGATCAGCATGATTAGCTGGGCTTTCTTTTGTGAAGGTCAAGCTGCAGGTAAGCACTTTCATTTGCGTTTGTTGCTTTTGAAGCTGGGGAAGAGTTTCATTCCTAGCAGTTATCTGCTTGGCCACCAGCATGGAGCATCACAGCTCATGGCAGCTCCATGAGAGGTGATAACACCTTGGCTGATCTGCATTAACATTTATGTTTAGTAGAGCCAGCTCTTTCCTTGCAGCAGGGAGAACTTGTTTGTCTGACCCTACCGGGGACTAGAATGTAACTAACGTTGAGTAAATCAAGTGACTCTTCTACACAGAAAGAGAGCCTCCTGAGATCCCACTAGCAGGACTCACAACTGCGGCCAACAAAGGTATAGGTTTTCACTAGTGAAAGTGTTTTTCCTAGTGAAGGACTTTGAAAGAGTTCCTAGTTGAAGTGCTGAGGGTAAGGTAATCTGGAAGGGTTCTTAGAGGAGAAAAATGCCATCTGCTGCCACTCTAACATGCACCAGGAGCTTAAAAATGGCTGTTTCTTGGTTCCTATACCTTGCTTAACTCAGGTAGGTTCTTGGGATAGCAAAGGCACTGCAAATCAAAGATATTACCAGTAGCATTGGCATAATAGTTGCTGTGTGCTGCTGTACCCACACTTTGCCCACTTAGACAGCCCTCTCCTAGAGCAGTCAGCACCAAATACTGGAAAAACAGCTCTTGGTTATTGATAACCACCACTGATTTCCAATGAACCCACTCATCAGATAACTACCTTCTGAAAAGAGCGGAGGTCTGCCTTCCTCTGTGGCTGGGAAGATACCACATTGAGTAATTAGCACATGAAGGGCAGCATCAGAATCTGAACTCTGTTTCTGGGAGATCCTGTGACAGCAAGAACTGCACCATATTCCATCACTCTGTAGTTGCCATGGTATGGAAGAGCTTATGCTTACACCTATTACCCTTTATCACTCTTTCCTGGAGAGCTGAATTTTCTCTTCAGGAATGTACCAAAGCCCTGTGGAAATACAAGAACTTCAAGGGCTGTACTGATGTACTTCAGGCAAGTTGTAGACACAGTTTTCTATGTTGTGCTCTGTGGATATTTTTTGCTCTGTACCTCTACTGTGGCCTCCAAGCAAATTCAGTTTGGAACTCATCACTGCAGAGGTCTGTTAGTTATATCCCTGGGTTGAAAGCTGCTGATGGTATCAATTTTGAGGGTAACTGCCCCAGAATGTGGCATGCAGGTGTGGGAAATCTGACTGATGCCCTTCCTCTCTTTTCAGTCCTCTTCCAAGTGGATGATGGCTTTGCTTCTCCAGGATGCAAAGACACTGGCCTGATTGCTCTGGAAAAACTTTCAGCCAAGGTAAAGCACAAAATTCCCCGGAAGAGCCTGACCTTCTCAAGGGCTGTTCCCTTGGTAACCATCACCTTGTTGTTATGTTGTTATTCAAAGACAATTTCTAAACTTTTAAGAGAATATAAAAAGGAGCTGTTATGGGGCAGAAGGAGCCCCTGAACAGGGAAATGAGTTTCCTCTGCTTCCGTGCAGAGCAAGGTTTCAGGCGGAGAGGTGCCAGGCAAGAGGCAGATTGCTATTCCCTTCCCTGGGGACTATGAGCTTGTTGTGGGGAGATATGGGAATGATAAAGTCTTTTCTCCCTTCCTTCCCAATCCTCTTCCTTCAGAGGCTGGTTGGAGGATAATGTCCAGGCTGGGCTGGCTCCCCAGCACCTCTCGTTAAGCTCTCAGGGGAAGGTCACTTGTTCCTCTTTGAGTTCTTCAGTGAAACACTGTTCTCTGTCCTCCTTTGGCTTCACAGAATTGTAGAATCATGGGATCATAGGGGTTGGAAGGGACGTCTGGAGATCATCAAGTCCAGCTCCCCTTCTTATAGGGAATTGTTTCAATGTGGTGGTTTCCTGCTCTGCTCCCCACGCAGGGCAGCAGACGGAGACTATGCCTCACATGTGGATTGGTGTGGGCTCTCAGACATGGGGCTGTAGAGCAGTAGTATTTTTTTACTTTCCACTCTGTAGGCTTTGGCAATCAAGATTGACTTTGGAGACTGACTTTGCTTCTTGAACTGTTCTGGACCTGTTGGCTTCCCAGCCTTTGATTGGATGCACCATTTTTGTGATATACCACAGCAATCCAGCAGCAATTCCACACTTACACATCTCCTCTAAGAAGACAATAATTCTCATGGAGGTAATTTCTTGTGTCATTTTGGGAATACATGGGAAGTTCCATCTTCCTTAGCTTTCTTGCGTCAACAGAGAGCAGAAAGCAGGCCAACAAAACTGAGTAAATTCATTTTCACAGAAAGATCCTGTGGCCTCTAAACATGATCCCACCCAGTCAGAGTGTAGGATGGGTATCTCCCAGATGTTGCAAAGAATGAGTGCAGTGGGAACTTTTTGTCTAGATGGCTGTCTGAAGTCTTCCAGTTGTCATTGCAGTATAAATACAGCAACCTACAGTTGCCAGTTACTACTGCCTTGTATCCTACATGAATATTAAAAGCACATGCCTGCACAAACCTCTACCACTGCAGATATACAATACATATAAAATATATTCCTGTATTTATTCATAGTTACATGCTCATTTATCAAAGAGGCAATCTCTGTTGACGTCAATATAATAAAGGGTCTCTCACAGCAGTACTGCCAGGAGCCCTTTTCCTCCAGAGACTGTAATGCTGTCATGAATATGACAACGAGTCAACATGGGATAATGCTGCATCAGAGGGCAATAATTCTGGGGAGATGAAGGGCTCTGGAAGTGCAGGTTAAGGGACATAGGAAGTAATACAAGTGCAGTAGCTTCCATTTCTATTTTTGGAGGAGGGCATGAGCCTTTGAATTGAGGAAAGTGGTAAATCAGTGCTCTGGTTGGTATCCTTCATGCATTAGAACTCATCACATGGAGTCGGTGTGACTGTGTGAGTTAACTGAGCACTAACTACTTCATGCATTTAAAGGAGATCCCTGCTTCATTGGGAACCTTTCTTTGTTCTGAAGCCATTGTAGTGCCATGGGTGATTTATGGTTTTGTGTGGAAAACACAGAGGATGCCTGCATTCCCGTGTCCGTAAGGAGGCCTGCCTCCATTCGTCACTGGAGCTCACCACTTGGAAGTCTGCTTGGATGATTATCTCCATCTGACAGTGAGGTATTGGCTGTGGTTTGGAATTACTTCTCTGTGTTTGTGCTGCGGTCATAATCATGAGGTCTTGACAATTTCTTTTTGATTCCTGTGATTTTGGCCAAGCGCTAGATCTTTGTGAAAATGCTTAAGATCTTGATGCTTCATAAATATGAATGGGAATGACAACTTGGATCAGGGTTATAGAATGTACACTGTCCCTCTTGCTCTTCCCCAGAGCTGCTGTATGTGGCAGGAAACTGATCAGGTCTCCCTTTTCTCAAGTCCGGCAATGCTCATACTGCCTTGGTGGAACAAAACTATTTCTCGGAAGTTTTTGGTGGTTTTTGAAGCTGGAGGATGTGAGGACTTGGTCATGGGGGTTTTTAAACTCTCATACCTTTGTGAGATGGGACAGTGCTGCTTTATCCCCACATTTACAGAGGGAGAAGTGAGACCCAGTGATGCAACACATCAAAGGCTTCACAAGGCATGTGGGACAGAGAGCAGATTTTGACCTAGTTTTCTGTAGGTCATTACTTCTTGCTAGCTGGATGCCTGCAAGACCCAGTTTTGCTTTCCTGATTGCTTCATGACACAGAAAGTAATTTGGGTAACAGTTACTATGGTGCCATCCTATGAGGCTGGCATGAATTATGGACTTTAGCTGACAGAAGACCATCTTGGAACTGCTGTCACGTGGCAAACGCTAGGAAAGCCTGCTCACTGCAGGCATGCCCCAGAGATGGAAGGTGTTCTACCCCTTCCCCATCATGGTGATAAGTACATCACATCCTGGCAGGGCAGCAGCTTCCCAGGGAACATTGGCGCCAGACAGCCTTGCAGAGCAAACGGCACGTGGTCTCAGGGAATGCTTTCAAACAGCCGTCTGGCAGAAGAGGATTCATCCAGATGAGCCTGAGAATTTATATGCACAGCTGATATTGCTGGAAAGCAGAACTGGCATGGGAATAGCTCACAAAGTGGGAATGCAGGGGAATCTTCAGCAAAAGCTTTTATCTCCAGAACAATTCAAGCAGCTTGGGTGAAGCATAAAAGAGGTGCGTGCTCTGAAGCAGGGAAGGGAAATAGGACTGCTTCTGCATCTATTTATATACCTGAAAAGCTACCCTAATGATAAATAATTGCAAATAATAATCACAATATCAAAAACAGGAAGGGCAAAGAAAGAGCAGCTCCCTCCCTCCCCCTTCTCCAGTGCTGGTGTTTGAGATGTCATCCAGATATGAAATCTGAGCCTGTTTCTAGTGGAAGGAGAATGGCAGTCAGTGTATCTTTATCACAATCTCTTTCATGCTCCAATGAGCTCCTTACCCTGTGCAGCAGCAGCAGCACAGACAGAGATGCCAACCTGTCTCAGAGCAAACGGAGAGATTTGGGCTGAAGCCTCAGCTGACTCAAAAAAAGACCCCTGGGTGTTTTTCCAGAGTTGACTGAGGGTTGTTTTCCTTCTCTCTCCTGCCTTGTGCTAAGGTTTGAGATGGGCCATGACTTCCTCTGGCCTAAAGGTCACTTTTGTGCATGGAAGAGTTATCAGGTTCATCATTTCCTGCAGATTATAATGCACTTGATCCTATTTATTTTTTCATGCAATCTCAGCACTACAGCCTGAGCAGGGAAGGGAAGACTGAAAGCACAGTTTGCTTTTAACAGTGGAGAAACAGTGTCATGGTCTGGCAGGGCACTGCAGGGAGGCTCTGGTTCAATAAGGATTTTGGAAGATGCTGTGTTGACGTGCTGATCCACCTTACTCTGTTTCTCTGAGGCAAGGAAATATCCAGTCATTCCCCAGTAGCATTAAAACCTAATTCTGCCTATGTCACAGGAGTATCACGTTAGAAACCCTCAGTCAGTCCCTTGTTGAACCACTCTCAGAAGGGAGCTTTACACCTTGTGATCATGAGCTTCATTTGTCTTCTTTACATGGTTGAGACAAGAGACCTGGAGGAAGGCACTTAAATGAGTTGGGTTTTTAGATTGGTGCTCTGAGGCTCTGCACTGGTCTTGATGACGGAAAGCTCTTCCAGCACAGCAGTCCCCCTCACTTTGAGAGAGGATGAGTGAGATGCTTCAGGGGCAAGTAGCATTCAACCATGAGAAGCAATAAAATCTGAGAGAGAGCTACAACCAGACCTTGATTCACCAAGGCACCAGAGACCAGGCTTCAACTCCCAAGAGGTCTCCAGCAACAACAAGCATCCAAGGGGCAGGCACAGTGATGAGCCTCACTTTCCCATCATAGTTGCTGTCTGCCTCAGCAGAAGAATTTTGTTTCATTTAATCAGTTTTAAACTCCTACTCTATTTTTTTTTTTCTTTTTTTCTTTGAGAAACTGAAATCAGTAAGAACTATGAAGAAGAAAACTTCAGAACTGATGGTAAATGTCATGGTCCCGGATAATGTGCTGTATGTCCTCCAGTGTGGAAAGATTCCCTGTGAGCACAGTGCTGAATGAGAGCTGGGATGCACATGTATGACCCTGAGTCCTTTTGCTTGATCTTTCTATATTCTTCCACATCACTGACTAGTTAACAACTTGAGATATAGGATAGATTAATAATAAACTTCTGAGGATTCTTCATTAGGTTTTGTGCTGTCATGTTCAAGAAACACATTGATGTGATACTTAGGGATATGATTTGCTGGGTGACATTGGTGGTAGGTGGACAGTTGGACTGGATGATGTTAGAGGTCTTTTCCAACCTTAATGATTCTATGATTCTTTCATTCTATGACTTTTGCCCCCAAATCTTTCCTGCAATCCCCATGTTCCAGGCTCTGAGCACAGTCTTATGGCTCCATGCAGGAGCTTTTCTGCACAGAATTCATTTTAGCTGACTCGATACAGAGGCAGAGCAGCAGGAAAGCAGCACTAAAGGAGAATTGGTTGACAAGGAGGAGGATGTGGAAGCAGATGAGGAGCACTTGGGACTTTGGATGAAAAGTAGTTCATCCCTTCTCAGCCCATTAATAAGTTAATAACTTATCAGAGATTAACTTAACACCTTGAGGCACAGAAGACATTGCCTTGTTCTCACATTAGCCTGGCTCTATTGTAATTCCTTTATCTTACCTTTCTTTTTTCCCCCCTCAGCTATTGCATACTCATCTGGGGCCACACTAATATAACAGCATAAGATTCAATTACAAAAGACTACAATAAGAGTGCAAAATTCTCTTCCTGACATGCTGAATCACTGCTCAGAAGCATTAATTATTGAGTGGCTAGCGGAATATTTTTTTCAAGTTGCAGTAGAAAAAAGAGTGAACCCTATGGCACCTCCTATGCAGGGAGCAGCTCCTACTTAGGATGTTTCTGGCTTTGCTGATTCTTGAAGCCAGTCAGAAGGAATGGGGACAGGAGAAGGAAAGGGGGAGATGAGGGAAAGCAGCACCAAGCTGGCACAGTCCCCTCCTGGGGAAGGAGCAGACGGGATGTTTGGCTTCTTTTATTTCCCTTGGTCTATGCACAAGGGTTTTTATTACAAAGAAGAGGAGGGAGCCCATGTGGGGAAAATATACAGCTCTAGCCACCGGGTCTCTACTCTGCTTGGGAAGGGGATATTCTTATCAGCCCATTTGATGTTCTTCCTGAGAGCCTCAGCATTGTGCCCAGCACTCAGCCATCCCGATCCCTATCACCAGAGCTGCCAGTACCTCGAGCTTATCTCCTTGTTACAGGAGTCTCATCTCTGGAGTACCCATGCACATTTTACATGGTATCAAGAGAAAGAACAAAGTAGCCTATCCTTTCATTGGCAGCTTCAGGGGATATGGGGTTTGAGGGGACCATGGAAATGCAGCTTCCCTTTCTTATCTGGCAAGGTGCTTGCAGACTGGGGCTTTGAGTCAGAGCAATGGGAGATGCTTACGTTGCTGCTTTCTATTCTGTGAACCCAAGGATGTGTAAGGATCCAGATGGGTTAACATCCCTTCTTTTATCCACATTAAGTCATGGAATTTAACCTCTCCTAAATTCTCAGCTATAGATGGATTAGATAAACTGGAACTAATGAAATATATTTGCTGCACAGATCCAAATTCAGCTCCCAGCATCCTTGGAACAAATCTGAAGAAATAGGCATGCTCAGGGCACAGGCTTGCCCAGGATATCACAGCAGACAGGAAGGGTTGGGCTGTTATTTCAGCTGGAGCCGCTCCTGGCTTGCAGATGCCACTATGGACTTACATGGAGATGACAAAGACCAGATGCAATTCCCTCATCTTTCTGTCATGCCTCTCTGTTTCTATATTTAAACGCATGTATTCTGAGGGGAGGAAGACTTGGCTTCAGGACTTGTGCACAATCCTCCTGCCCCACATGGTTTTGCTCTTGTGCTGACACACAGTGACAAAATAAACATCGTGTGAGTGAAGAGGATGACATCAGGATTACAAGCAGTGTTAAAGGAGACAGAGCTGCCTCTCACAGATGGTATTTGCATGTGTAACACAGGCTCCAAGGACTCCTATTGCCTCCCTCCTCAACTAGCATTGTCTGTTCAGCTCTGAATGCATGACTCCATTTATCAGCTCTATGGACATGGTGAGGGTTTCCTGCAGTCCTCTAGGGATGAGGAAGTTTGACTGAGGCTGCAAAAAGAGCTGGAGATGGAATCAGACCAGTAAGCAACTGCAGTGTGGTGCACAACTTCATCCTACCCTCAAATGTCACATCTGGCCATTTGTTGGAGGTGGCATATGGGGTGGATCCAGTATCTGGTTCCACAGAACTGGGCTCAGAGCTGCAGGAGCCAAGGACATCCTTGGGGTTTAACCAGAGAGGATAATGCAGGTGTATTTGGTTGGTGATGAGGAAGGTCATAGAAGCTGAAGATCAGGGTAGAGCTGCTCTTTCACAGACAGAGTGATATTATAATGGCTTTAATTGAGCTGTAACATGACATTGCACCATATATGCTTTTCTGTGATCTAGAGAATTTGATTTAAAAATCATATAAACTGTGTGTTGGTGAGAGATGGTATGACATGCTCACTGCAGAGGCAGTGCAAAGAGAGCTTCACCCTCACCTGGATGAAATGATGAGGTTAGTAAAACCTTGTAACTTTATCTCTCCTACATACCTCTGCTGAGACGTACATAACACAATGTCATTTTATTTTATTTTACTTTATTTATTTATCCTTCTCTACTTCATTTTCTTTCTTTTAGTCACTTTATTTTATTCTATTTATTTTATTTACTTTTGTTACATGCAGTCTGTAAGCTTACATTATGTAAGACCTAGCAAGTATCATTTGATGGTTGTTTCCCTTTGCTCCTTGGGAGACGAATGATGTTTTGTCTGGTGATTGAAAATGAAAGGCACTGCATCTCATTTCTTATTCCTTGTGGCACTCATTTTGGCATTCTATGGAATTGTGGTTCTGAATGGAGATTGCTCTGATGTCCTTATCCATTCCCCCAGTATCAGACTCAGAAATCTGCAAGGTGTGACCATTACTACAGCAAACCCACTGTCTCTCCAGGATAAACTCCAGGATAAATGTTGCCTTCTCCCAGGACATGGGGAAATGGCCACAAGTTGTATCAGAGGAGGTTTAGATTAGACATGAGGAAGAGCTATTTCTCTCAGAGTGGTCAGGCACTGGAATGGCTGCCCAGGGAGGTGGTGGAGTCACCGTCCCTGGCAGTGTTCAAGAGGTGTCTGGACGACGTGCTGCGTCATATGGTTTAGTGCTTGTGGTGGCAATGGTGATGAGGAGATGGCTGGAGTAGATGATCTGACAGGTCATTTCCAACCTTGAATTCTGTGATTCTATGATTCTATAAAGTCACTCAAAGTACTGAAGTCCCTCAGCTCTTCTTTTCTCCTCCTTTTCTTCCTTCCCTTTCCAGTCTTGGTCTCTCTCCTCTGAATGATGTTGCAAGACTTTGTGTTTAATTAAGACACATTGTCCAACCAATTTGGAAGCAGAAAATAGCAGGAGATGTTTTACAAATAGGAACAATTCTTGTTCATTATCCCTTAATTGAGGCAACAAAAAGGTGCTGGAAAACATCCATCAGATGCACATTCATATACATCATCAGAGAGGATTGGATTTAGGAACTCACAAAAGCAACATCGAATGTTCCAATCAAGAGTTATACAGACAACAGGAAAACAAAAAATTGGAGACACAAATACATCAGAATTAGCACAATCACAGATTACATGTTTCTGGAAAACACATTCCCTGGCTCTTCTCCAGGATTTTCTTATTTCATACTCCTTTTCTTTCATTCCTATTTGTGGTACAGAAGTCAGTGTTGCTGACCTATCCTTTGCCAGCCTATGCAGCTTCTCATGAGGAGGAAGGTATTGTTCTGGGGGGCATTGCAGGAGTGGCTGGGACAACGTGATCACCAAGTTGGAAGCTTTCACCCCAGTTTGAACACAGGGCACTCTAAGGATGACACACTGTTCATCTTTTCCACCCTCATTCTTTCACACGCTGAAGTTTGGTCTCTCTGCTAAGTCGCTCTTCTTGTGCAGAGGAGATAAATAACAGGAGAGAACCTGCTGAGGGAGACATTTTGAGCCTGGAAGGCCAGGAAATCTCTTTACCCACTTAACTATGCATTTTAAAGCTTGCTTGGCCTCTTCTGAGCTCATTTACACTCTAACACCGGGGCCCCCACAGAGTCAATCTTTATTCCCACTGGTCTGTTAGACTCAAATTCTTTGGCTTGTCATTTTTAAAAGGTGCTTGAGTTTTAAATGAGGGACAGAATATGCCACAGACCTTCACGATACCTGCTGAAGTGTATGTGTACCTCAGTGCTTCCTGGAAGGGAGGACATCATCAGGAAAAATGGCATCACACCTCATCAGACTGTAGTAATAGACCAAAACATGATAGGATGCTGTTAAAAATTCTCATGATTGGTACCCACAGCTGTCGAGCTAATTATTCTTGCTGTCTTGTCATAGATAGTTATATGGTCTCCAGGGTACCTCAGCATTTCACAATCTCTAATAGAGTTCTCTTCACACACTCCTGAGAGACACCTCTCTGCTCTTACCTTCCCTCTCCTTCATTCCACTGGGATGATTGAGGCTCAGCAGCCTATTCCAGTGCTGCACTCTGCAGTGCCTTCCCTTGAGCAGCACACATGTCACCAGCTTTATCTAGCTCGGCGTCAGATGTGGAATTTAAGCTACCATCATTTATGGAAGGTGATGGGAAGCAGCAGAAGGGATGTCTGAAAGGTAGGGGACTCCCTGGAGGGGAATCTTGTGTGGTCTAAGTCCCCTGATGTCTAGAGGACATGAGTCCCATCAGAACTATCCCATGGGTCATGCTCTGCAGACTACAGTGAGAGCAATATGTCCCTATACTTCATGAAACCATGGATGGTTTGAAAGAACCTATTCTCGCAAGAACACACCTCTGCTCTGTGCTGTGAGACCTCATCTGGAGGACTGCATCCAGATGTGGAGTCCTCACTACAGGAGAGACATGGACCTGCTGGAGTGTGTCCACAGGAGGGCCACACAAATGATCCAAGGGATGGAGTACCTCCCCTGCAAGGACAGTCTGAGAGAGTTGGGGCTGTTCAGCCTAGAGAAGAGAAGGCTCTGGAAACCTGTGAGCAGCCTTTCGATATCTAAAGGGGAGCTATTAAGAAAAAAGGGGACAGGCTCTTCAGTAAGGTCTGTTGTGATAGTACAGGGGGAAATGGTTTCAAGCTAAAAGAGAGATTTAGATTGGATATCAGGAAGGTTTTTACAGTAAGTGTGGTGAGGCATTGGTACAGGCTGCCCAGAGAAAAGTGGTGGTGCCCCATTCCTGGAGACACCTGAGGTCAGGCTGGACGGGCTCTGAGCATCTGATGGAGCTATGGGTGCCCCTGTTCATTGCAGGGGAGTTGGATCAGATGGCCTTAGGGGTCCTTCCCAACTCAAACCATTCTATGACTCTCTGATTTTTTTGAACCTGAACCCCAGCCTGAGGAAGTTTTGGAGACATTGCTTGAACTCGGGTGAGGTTTTCATAGAATTATAGAATCACTAAGTTTGGAAAAGACCTCTAAGATCATATAAGTCCAACTGCCCCAGGGAGGTTGGGGCAGCAGACTGGCTCTGTGCCTTGTTTAGGCTGGGAGCTCCCCAGAGCAGCCCTGTCTTTGCCTTCAGTGAAAAATTCCCCCATGATTTTCCCTTGCACTTCCTCCAGCAGCTGCTGTGGCTTTCCTCTGTTGTCCCCGCAAGCCCTCCCTGCCTTGTTTTGAAATCCCCACTGCCTACCATGGAAAGTGTTTGCATTGTAGCTGGCATTTGTTGATTTTCTTTAGGTGGCTTAGGGCTGCAGGCATTCCTCATTACTTTTTTATTAACCAATCTGAATACTCATTTAGCCTTACTAAGCGTGTGCTGGTTTTTAATTCTTCCTTCAGAAGCATCTGTGCAGATCTGTTCCTTGGTCCTCAGTAACAATATAGGATCCCATGCAGCAAGGATGAGGCAAGAGATGACAGCTCACCACACAAGACCAATCTGGGTGACAAAGCAAAGTCCTCTCTTTGCTTATCCCTTGCCTTCCTGTGCAGCAGGACTGCCAGAAGTTACAGCAGTGCAATACTCAGCAGGATGACAAGGTATGTTGCGTCGGACAAACAACTTTCCAAAATACTTTCCAAAATTAATAATGCAAAGTGGCAAGACGATAGATAATAAAAATAGCTGAAATGGTCGAGGGAAGGCAGTTGATGAAGATTAAATTGTCATTCAACTATAAGGTTAACAGGAGGTAGGAAAAAGAATGATTATAACCATTATGCGTAAAAACCAAGAGACTGGCAGAGAAACGTTGTGTTCTGACATCCAACTCCCATGCACTGCCTTGGACCTATTTTTCAAGTGCGCTGAGTACCCAGAACTACGCAAGGCAGGATGTAATTTTTTCCCTTCTGACTCAGATGCCAAGCAGAAGGAAGGAGGTAGGGACGCTGGGTGGGAGGAGATCTGGTTCTGTCATTTCTCAGGTTGCAAGGCCTGATGAAAAAGCCATATCCAAGGAATGGATAATTATCATAGAATCATAGAATGCCTGGATTTGGAAAGGACCTCAAAGATCATTTAGTTCAACTCCCCTGGTGTGGACAGGGTCACCAACCACTAAATAAGGCATTACATCAGATTGCCTAGGGTCCCCTCCAACCTGGTCTCAAACACCTCCAATAGAACCAGCTGCTGGGCAGAGAGGGAAGCCAATGTCCTTCCATCCTCCCTGGGATGGTCTGGGAGCATTGCTGGGGTGATGAAGGAAGGAGCTCAAACACCACAGCTGCCTGAGCTGTGTCTACTGGATAAATATGAACGCTTGGTCTCTAGGCCTATTAGTCCGGCAGTTTGCTCAAGCACTAAATCCACTTGCACTCAAAAAAGGTACATTCTGCTGCTTTTTCAAGTGTCTTGAATTCTATTGTGTACAAATTTACAAATTAACTGCTTGAGTGTTGACTAACGCTGCAGCCTGCCGTCAAGGTAAGAGCCCATTTATTTATAGGCTCTTCAAGGACAAGAAGATGCTGTGTTTGTACAATCTTCCAGTAGGTGCACTGTGCACAGCCTAACAAACAGTTCCCTACCTCATCCATGTTTTGGAAGAGGACAAGACGTAGTATCATAGAATCCTTAAGACTGGAAAAGGTCTTTAAGATCACCTAGTCCAATTGTCCACCTACCATCAATATTGCTCACTAAGCCACGTCCCTCAGTGCCACATCTCCATGGCTCTTGAGCACTTCCAGGGATGGTGACTCCCTCACCTCTCTAGGCAACCTTGTACCAGTACCCCACTTCTCTTTTTGAGAAGAAATTCTTCCTAGTTTCCAAGCCATTATGAGACCCTCAAGGAAAACACACAGCTTAGTCAATGTCAGATGGCAGGAAGGCCATGCTATGCCATCAACTTCTGATGATGGCAGAGCTGCAAATGTATAATGCTGTGTGTTTGCAGTCCATAGAATCGCAGAATCATTACTGTTGGAAAAGATCGCTAAGACTGTCTAGTCCAACTGTCTGATGGGACTGTGATCCCTGGATGGTAGGAACTCTCTTTTTCTATTTCCTGGTGATGTTTACTTCAAAGGTGCTTGACCAGATGGATAGCCCTAGTAACAAGAGCCCCACAGAAGAATTAATGTGACTCTGATGTGTTTATCCTGAGATCTCGTGGTACCTGACAAAGGAAAGGCATCATCAATTCTATTTTTTTTATATGGGGGCAAAAAGCAGCGAAATTATTTACTAATCCATGCTCCTGCAGTGAATCAGTGATAGAGCAAGGACCTAGACCTTTCCAGCTGTGCTTTGAGGCTACCTGAAATGCCCACTGGAGCAGTCCTAAAACACTGACCCTTTGAGAGTGTGTCCTGCCCTTGCTGCTTCATGCAGCAGATTTTAGCCTTGCAAAGAACAACTCACCTTTGCTTTGACCAGGACTGGGGCAGGCAACAAGCAGAGAGATGATGCTTTAGAGAACACTAGTTTAAGTCTGTGGCCAGATGGGTAGAAGAGCACACAGAAAGGGCATGCATAAAATGGAAAGGAGAGACTATGAAATGTTTGGTGGATGTAGGCTTGATAGCCAGTTGAATGTAGAGCCAACTGGATGTAGAGGAGCATGTATCACCGATCCTTTGGTCACTGGAGCTGATCAGGGATACCTGGACTTGTGTGGGGTACAATACAAAGTCTTAAGGAGATGGGAAGTGTTTTGCATTGGCTGGCAAGGATGCACCTGCATGGACAGCAGTGTTGCCTTCCCAGAGCTCTGCTGGGACCTCAGCAGCCCAGCGGCGCTGTGTACCTGCATCACTTGCCCCAGATAGTCAGCCACTGCCAATATTTAATTATACAGGGGAAGATATCACTTAGGCTGAGATGTCTTGGCTTCATTAAGGAAGCTGCAGAACTCATCATGCTCTCCCCTCAGGCTCTGTGAAGGAAAATCCTGCTGATGGAGGCTGCCGAGTCTGGAGGGGCTGGGAAGCTGCTGAGCCCAGGTTAGCAGGGGATTTCAAGTCAGGCACACCAGCGTCTGGGCGTTAGAGCAGCAGTGTAACTGAGTTCCCTGGCTGTTTAGACAGGGCTGTGAGCTGATTGCAAAATGCCTTTTGTGCAATGCGAGGCCCTCACTCTGCACCTCCACATATTTCATTCATGGGGATGAGATAGCAATGAGGTGGTCATTCATTAGCAGTAAATAATCTCTCCCTATCTGAGGTAAGGGTTGTCATGGAATTGCTCTTTCATTTTATAGGGTTCTCTGTGATAAATTTATCTTGTAAAAGGTGATTAAGACACTTTGTTACATTTTAATGTGTCTGTAAGTCTACCTCTAATATCAGCGCTCACTTTGGATCTCTCTGGAAATAGTTAACTATCCCATGTTGTGCAACGAGACAAAGTGTGAGGGGTGTTTGCACCACAGTGAGCCAACCAGAAAGCTCCATCCTGTGCTGACAAACCCTGAAGATGGCTAATTCCTATTTTCTGTTTTGCTTAGTCCAGAACTTCTCTATCCAGTGACACACAGAAACAGAGGTGCCCTGGTTTGGGAAGGCAGGCAATTATTTCCTGCCTGAAGGGAAAAAGTTCAGCTACGCTGTGCTTTGTGTTTTCTGCAGAGCAGCTCTGATAGCTCCCAGGCTTTCTCAGCTGTTTGTCAGTCACAGGCTCTCTTCATGGACTATATAAGGAGCCCAAGTACCTCATTAAGAAGGTTTCAATAGCTCTCTGCAGCTACGTACATGGCAATACATAGTGTAAAACCTAAATTAGGTGCTGTTAAAGACTCACAGGAAGGTGTCCAGTGCTTAAGCATTCTGTCTACACAGGAAGGAATGTCTGATCCCAGAAAAGACTCCAGCCACATCACCTCATCCACCTTTCTCTTCTTTCTTAGCCACTACCCAGAATCTGATTTTTTTGTGTATGTGACTGGGCACTGGGATGTCACCAGGTAATGCAGACTATTACTTCCTTCCTTCCTCTCACCTAGCATTTCTATTACTTTAATTTGTACAGCTTCAGGCTCTTTTCACCTATTTTAGTCTTCAGTAGACATGTTGGTAAAACTTTTTACATAGTATATTGAGACATTGTGCATCTCTTCTATCCATTTCTGTTACTCTGTGGGTACATGGAGACTGAAAATGGTACCATGGATCGTAGAATCAAATAATCAGAGAATCATTAAGGTTGGAAAATATCACTAATATCACCCAGTCCAACCCCAACCCCCACCATGCCCCTAACCATGCCCCTCTGTGCCACGTCTCCACAGTTCTTGATTCCACTACTCCATGGGCAGCCTGTGCCAGTGCCTCACCACTCTTTCTGAGAAGGAATTGTTCCTAATATCCAACCTGAACATCCCCTGGCATAATTTGAGACCATTCCCTCTCATCCTATTGCTGTTTACCCTGGATACTTTGAAAGTTGACTGCTTAGAGGGAAAGCCTCTCCCACCCCGCCACATACAGACCTAGATGAAAGTGGTGATCCCTAATACAGGCAGATAAGATGTTGCCTGATGGTTTTTGGGTGAGAATTAAATGCTGGCTGGCCTGTGTGTCAGTCTCTGGGATGTGCACTTTGCTGCTCTCCAGGAAGAGCAGGGCATTTGGCACAATCCCAGAGAGTGCCCTTCTGCTCTGGTTACAGCCCACAAGCATCAAATGCTCTCATTCATTTATCGGTGGGTGATAAACAGCCTGGGAAATGCTGCTTCAGTCAGGTCACATTCTTGCTCTTTTATGAATGTGACATCTCTAAAAGTGTATCTGCTAATGTCACGAGAGCCAGAGGAAATCCCAGCCTGGTCCCTTGGTGCTTTCCTGAAAACAGCTGGGTGCAGAATGCACACAGGTTGCTACTTACATGGCTATTTCTGCAGAAGATGGATGATTTAAACATCAAGGAAAAATCCCCCCAATCTAGGATTTCTGCCCTTTAAATATGAGTGTAATGCGTTTTTGATTGCAGCAATGGGATTTCTTGCCTTGAGTTTGTGATCACAGCCACAGTGCTGGCTATGTTGCCATATATATCTCCCTTTGGGATGGGAAGGGGAGTCACACAGAAACAGAATGGGCAGAAATTAGCCTGATTCAGGTAAGCAAAATGCTTTTTCGCTTGATCTCCACACCCAGGCTCCCTCTCCTTCAAGGCCAACATCCCTCTAAAAGATCTTCCAATAAAGGAGAAACCTCCATGCCAGTGCTGCATTTAAGGCACTGTTTGCTCCTGGGTGACCTCAGCCTTTTTTCTCACCTTGTTTTCAGGAACCTGCAGTCCGGAAGAGAAGCAGCCCAGACATCCCTGTGTTCCTGCTGCTCAGTGATGTGGTTGTGTATGGGATGCAATCAGTGCTGTGCAGCTGCTCCTACATTAGTGTGCATCGGAGACACTCGATGGGTATGTGCATGATCAAATATGGAGTGATGAGAAGCCTGCTTGTCCCACCTGGGAGGGCACATGCTCCCTTGTGCAGGCTGACCTTGGGGAGGGCTGCTTTTGAGATTCCCATGCAGCTGCTGTTTTGCATTGCAAGCCATATGGCCGGCACCATAAATGCTGTCTCTAATTGTAGCTCTCAACCTGCCAACGTCCAAAGCAGGGAGAAGTGTTGGGACAGAGGGTGGGGGCGGGGGAAAAAAACAAGCATTTGCTTGAAAAAGAACCAGGAATCAGGAAAGGGTGAGAAAGGAAGCCCTGGGAGACAGCAAGATTCATTACTTATGTGCAAATCGCCTTTTCTGACCTCAGGTGCCTGACTCAGCTTTTTCCACGTCAATATTTTACAATAGTAAAAGTGAGAATGTACCAGGTGTAGAAAATGAGGGCAAATTTGAGTCTAAAAAAGCAGGGACGTTCCTGCTAATGAAGTACTGTGGAGAATCTGTTCCTAATCAAACCACTAATAGTAACTTTGTTCCTATAATCTGCCTTTTTTTTCAGTACAGTGGGGTTACATGTTACAGGGATTTGGGGGGATCTGGAGCAGGACTGGATAGGGATTTAAAACAGATTGCTTGGTTCTATTATAACATAATATGAGGAAAAAGGTGGTCCTGGCCTTATCCCTTCCTGCCTAGGTATTGTGTCCATCTATCCTCAGGCAAAGCTGATGCAAAATAACTACCAGGACAAAATGGAGATGCTTTTCACCTGTTCTGTATAGAATTTAATGGGCGAGATTCGAGGCAAAGCATTGCTATGCAGAGGTTATTTAGTCTGTCTTTCCCAAGGGGAAGAAGCATGTGAGCAGCTTCTCTAATCAAACGGAGACATAAGGATGTCTGTGATAGATTTGGTGCTGCATTCAAAGCTCCTTAAGTGGGTGGTGCTCAGGGAGCAGCCAACTGTGTTCAGTTTTGGGCCCCTCACTACAGGGAAGAAACTGGGGCCCTGAAGTGTATTCAGAGAAGGGCAACAGAACTGCAAAGGGTCTGGAGCATAAGTCGTATGGGGATTGACTGAGGGAACTGGGATGTTCAGTCTGGAGGCTCAGAGGAGATTTATTACTCTCCACAACAGCCTGAAAGGAGGTTGTGGTGAGGTGGGGATCAGGCACTGCTCCCAGTTAACAGTGAGAGGATGAGAGGTGATGGCCTCAAGTTGTGCCAGGGGAGGTTCAAGTTGGATATTAGGAAAAAATTATTCTCTGAATGAGTGGTGAGACACTGGCACAGGCTGCCCAGGGAGATGGTAAAGTCACCATCCCTAGAGGTGTTTGAGAAATGTGGTGATGAGGGATGTGGACAGTGGGCATGGAGGGGATAGGCTGACTGCTGTACTAGATGATCTTAGAGGTGTTTTCCAACCATAATGACTCTGTGATTCTATGATTGGGGTTCTCTAGCAGCCTCTTTCTGTCAGAGGGACAGCTGAGCTTGGGCAGCAAAGGTTTTGGTTCAGCAAAGTCTGGGGAGCACACATCCACAGCCACTGCTGTGCTGCCCGCCTTCTCTAGAGTAACGTGAGGGCAGCATCTCCTATCACTCCAAAAAGAAAGCTCAGAATAAAGCCAGGGTAACCTAAAAGGGGGTGGTTGAGAGACTGTCCTGGTACTCTTTTGTGAGTCACTCATCCCTTCCCAGTACACCCAAAGAGAGGGTCTGTCCTGGTTATCAACTTTGCTCCCAGAACTCATTAGCTTAAAGGAAAAAACACGTTTCAGTTCCTTCTTAGAGAACTTTAATTAAAAATCATGGAGAAAAACCCATCAGGAAAGAGAGAAACAAGAAAATAGGTAGACATCTCCACCTCTAATTTATGTGAGTTTAAAACCAGTTCCAAGATTGGCTTAATTACCTGGGAACAATGTATTTCTGCAGGATTGCAGATCAGCTCGTTAGTGATACACTTTTTTTTACTTCCAGTTGAAAATGATAATACATCCCTCACTCAAAACATTGTCTCCCAATCACCATGGTTACTGCCAGGTTTTCCACAAGGACCCAGCATATTCATCTGTCAAATATGCTAATGGAGAACGGACCCTGTCACACAAAGGAGCAGGCTATTCAAACATACACTTGGCAAATAATTGTACATGTCAAAAGAATGATGCTTGTTATTTGCCTAATATTATCCCCCAGAAGTGGGAAATAGTTCAGCTCTCAATGCAAAATGGCTTGCCCTTATCAAATAGGCAATTTGCTGATAATTTAGACTATTAGAGATCTTGGGGTGGGGAGACAAAAGGGGGGGGGGGGGTTAGCGAATGTAAGTGGTCTTTTATAATTGCACTGAAAGCAGAATGGGGCATTAAGTGCCCCGGAGGTGCAGTAACAAGGAGCATCACGGGAAGCTGCCGGCCGAGCAGAGGGGCTGCTCACGGCCTCCCCTCTCACCTCCACCAGGTAGCTGCCGGTGGGTGGTTAATTATAATTTAGAAGGAACACTTTTATCGACTGCAGGCTTTTTTTTTTTTCCTTATTGCTGTTTATCTTCATGATGGGCCAATTTCCAATTTGTCTATTTCAGTAATTAAGCCAAAGAAAAACGTTACTGTAGGATTCTTCCAAGTTTCTGAGCTCCTGATGTTAACAGCTGGAGTTGTCGACATTGTGCAGAAATTTCTGTGGCTGAGGCAGCGGCCTTTTCTCTGCTTTGGGGCACATAAATACTCATTCCCCATGCTCTTCTACACCTCCTTCCTCACCTCCATCTGCTCACAGCCCTTCTTCCAGCTTTCTGCCTGTCCCCAACACAGCTTTACCCAAATCCTGTGTAAATCCAGAGTGTTCTTGTTTAGATTTGGCTGAGCCATACCTAAGACTTTTATCTACAATATCCCTGCTGTTCTTCCCCTCTTTGGCTGTGCCCAAGCCCCCAAGGTGATGACCCTGTGACTCTGGCCCCAGGTTCTCTTGCATGGATGGGTACTGAGCAGGGGTGGGACCACAAACCTCACATCACTCGTGCTATACAGAGGGAGGAAGAAAATCTTAGAGCCCTGTTCCCTCAAACTGAAGAACCAATTAATGTCTCTGGACATGTATGAGGCTTTCAGCCTAAGTTGTAAAAGTGGCAAATACACAGACATCTCTGTTTCTTTGAATAGGATGGACAAATCTTCTCTCAGCATCGTCTCAAGACTGCTGGGCCTTTGCTGTTTATTCCTCTCGTGGTTTTGTATGGAATCATAGAATCATCACCATTGGAAAAGACCATAAAGGTAATCTAATACAACCATCAACCCATCACCACCATACCACTAAACTGTGAAATAGGAACCATAGTATCAGGAGAGGACACAGAATGTATCTCCTTTTACCCCAACCTCACTTTTTCCTTTCTCCCTACCAATTCTCAACATGAATGGGCCACCTAACATAGTTCTCAGCCAGGTTAGATCCCATCACCTACAAGCAGAAGATGGCTTCCCTTAATGCTATGGTTCCCTCCAGCCTGCCTGGGTCTGCAAAGGCTGGGATGGTGCAGCACAGGCGTGCTCTCCTTATGTGCCATTATTTGCCAGATGTGACTGAGGTACAGTCTTCCTGGATCTTGATTTCTGTCTGCTGAGCCTCCTGGTGCTCTCTGCAGTGCAGTTTATTTGCCTTGGGGTGGATGGGAAGGTCTCCCTCTGAGCTGTGAAATCATGTTCTGTTGGCCCTGGTGAAGTCAGACCCTGAAATACACATGGGGAAGGCAAGGAAATGGTAGTGTGGAAACTGAGCGTAGGGGGTGATTAGTAAATGTTGGGACGGGAACCAAGAGGGGTCACATTTTGCTACCCTATGTGCTTGTAGCACTAAACATTAATTTTATGATGAGCAGAAGGAAGAGAGGGGAAAAAAAAAAAGACAACTAGCAAGTGACCTAATCAGCTATTAAAATATTTCCAAGCAGTGAAATTAATACAATTCCCAACTCATAACTTATTTGTCTCTGTACAAAATTAACATAGATAAATAAATTAAAAAAAATAACCTCACCCAAACTGCTTCATAATAAAATGTGATCATAGCAATAATAAGATGCTTCAGTGCATGAATTTAGTTGCATTAATTCACCCCCAGGTGTAATTGACAGCTCTCAGCCTTCAGCTTTCTGCTGAACAGCCTACTGCGGCTGAATTATTATACCTGGCACTTCAGACTCTTCCACATCTCATTGCCTAATTGTCTTCTCTTCTAGTAGGTGAGTGTTAAACTCAGACATTAAAGGATCTCTGCCAATTACCTGAAGCTCAACATTTGATCTGCCTGAAAATCTCAGCGGTCCAGGGGAGGCTGCTCCTCCGCCTGCATCCTGAGCACTGCTCTGTCCTTCTGAGGGTGGTATAAAGCAAGAGTAACTCTACTTCTGGTTGTAAGGGCATAAACAGAGGGGAAAATTGAGGGAATTTGGGGAACAAATCTGTTCACTCTATCCTTTCAACATCAATGCTAGCACTGATACAGTAGCGGCTGCTAATTACATAGGATTTATAGAAAAATGTATTGCACTCTTTGTTTTCTCTCTGCTGGATTTACAGATGCCATTTGACTGCTGCTTCTGTGCAATACTTTGTAAAAGCAGCAGCTTTTCTGGGATTACCTCCCCACTGTATTGCTTCTGGTGCCTGCAGCTCAGTGATGTGTTTCAATCTGCGGTCACTGCAAAGCCCACGTAGCACAGTGGTGCTTTGGAGACTCTTGTTTGCAAACCAATCAGTTAAATTAAGAAGCTTGATTCTCAGTACTGTGTGATGACATCTCCAATTTAGCTGGTGCCCCAGTGAGGAAGTAAACAAACAATAAAAGTGTCACTATTCCTTCTAGTTCCATTAGACAAACAAGAAGTTTATTCAGCGTTTTGGCAAATGAAAATTTAAGCAAACTGTCAAGGGAGACATTTTCCACATCAAATGTTTTCTGAAAGGGGATTATAACAAGAAAGAGCTATCACCCACCATGTCATTATAAACAAAGGCTCCTGTGAACCCCTTTTATTAAAGATTAGCAGCACTGATTACAGACTTTCCAGGCTGAGCCAAAGGCAAATTAGAATATCTTTTGCTTTGGGATAACTTATGCTACCTTCTTGGGCACTGAGATGATTACAAACTCCCGAGAGCAGAATACCTTCACCTATGGCCATCCATTCTCTGCTGTTTAGAAGCAGCCTGGCGATCTGTCTGGACCTATTTGCTGCCTGAGATCAACACTTCATTCTGCCTTCTACCATACAGTTCCAGGTGAGATCAGTCAGTCATGCAATTGGGAATCCCAGATTTTGGGCATTTCTCATGGATAACCTTTAAGGCTACTTCAGAAAGCATTTCCAAGCCAAGTGTTAATGAGCTCTGTTCCAGCAGGGACAGAATGGGAAGCTAATATGGTGCTTATCTAGCCATGTAAATTCAGCCTTTAGTTCCATGTAGTACCTGTGGGCTTGGTGCAGACTTGGAGACCCAAGAGGCTGGTTGGAAAGGCTGGTAAACATCCAATTCATACTCTCACCTGTAATTCCTATGGCACCCTTGCAGTCCTGCTGGATTGAACACATACCCATCTCATCTGCTGACTCCTCCTGCCTCAGAGCCTATCAGACCTTCAGCTTTAGACCTGTGCGCATTCCTACAAGCAGGTGGACACTGCTGAGTTGGCCTCCAGTCCCCTGGATGCATCCCGATCCCAGGACACTGCACTAACAGGCCAGTACTTCTGTCCCACCTTGGTATGCAGGAAGCTGTTCTCCCAGACTTTTTTTCTTTTTTTTTTTTTTTTAAGCTAAAAAAAGCTCATCAGGGAATGAGCCCTGCCACTTGCACAGTCACAGCATCAGTCTTTGTTTATGTACTGAACTGATGAGCAATTAACTTGGAGAAGATACATTATATGCGGAGCACAAGCCTCTTAATGTGCTTTCTATTAAGGCTGCCTAACACTTCCTATTATTAAACCCCACTTTCTGTCACTTACAACTTTTCCAAATTCTAACCATTTAGGCTGAAATCTTCCCTCCCGAGTGTTGCCTCAGGCTGGCCTGATCATATTTTGTGAGGAAAGCTTATATATGCCTTAGGGAAATCCCCAGGATGGTTGTGCAATCTGTGCTAATGGCTCTGAATGACACTCAGTGAGAAGGGACATGGGAGAGGCCATAGACAAAACTAATGCAAACAAGGCCATGTAATTAGACGGAGATGGAGCTAAGCTAAAGGCAGAGAGGTCTTGTAGAGAGGCCTCTATGATTTCCCACTGCATGCTCTTTGTTCATAATAACTGGAAGAGTGATCCTTCATTGCCTGGTCATGCCTGGTTACATTTTCCTGGACGCAAATTACAATACAGCTTGTCTGACCTCGGTGTCATCATCCCCAGCAAATTGCAGCTGGTTCTCACGTTTTCATTATGGAGCACACAGCCATCCAGGGGAGTTATTCTCCCTCCGCTTTTCATCACGTGCACTTTCTCCTGCTCCTGAAATGGCTGAATGCTTTCATAATTGTGTGATTGGGAAAAGCGCCATGGGTTAAAGCAACAAAAGGTGTGAGCCTTGTAGGAAAAGGGCAAAGGATGGGGCTCTGAATATCCATAAGAGCCATGGATAATGCTGAGCAGCAGAAATTTTGGTAGTGATTTTGTTCATACTTAGTGAGAGCGACAGTGAGGCAAGAGGTTTTAGTGAGCTCCCAGCCACCACAGCTTGGATACTTGCTGCAAAATGTAGAGCACAGTGATCCCTGTTGAGCTGCTTTGTCTCCATGTCTTACCCTTCCAGAGATATGTGGAGGGAGGGACCCCTTCCTTCAGACAGCAGTCCTCTGGATAGCAGTCTCTGGGTTGTCTCTGACGGCGTAGTTTCATCAGGATTCCATTGTGCTCCAGCACAGGTGCTCTGACAAGCTGCGACCCCATTCCCAGAGGTCTCCCCACAATCTTATTATCTGAGATCCCAGTCCTGAAAATGGACAAGCTTATAAAGCAGCAAATCCCAGGGCCTCTTTTGTCACTGTGGGAAAAGCTGCCTGCACAGAGGATGAGAGCAGGGAAAGCCATGTTGCTTTAAACAAATATGAAATCAGATGCACTGAGGAAAAAAAGAAAAAAAAAAGCTAAACTATGCCAGCAGAGAGTTGGTACAGCAGCATCTCTGTTCCCTATGTATGGCACAGCCTGTTAATGCCTCCCGTGTTGGTCTCATCCCTCCCCCAAACTAGACAAGAAGCAAACCCATTATCTGAAGGGCATTTGTCTAAAACTCCTCTTTTGTGCCTTGGCTATCTAGGGCCTGCAGCTGTCACTTCCCATTCTTCCTGTAATTGCTCCCACTACAGCTAATAATGCATTTATCAAGAGGGCTTTATTTATTTATTTTTCATTCTCCCATTATTATTATTATTATTATTATTATTATTATTATTATTATTATTAAGGTATAAAATAGGTCTTTTCCCACTGCTCCAGCAGAAAAACTGGTGAAAAGCAGTGGCTGTCCTGCTCTCCTGCCTCAGAGTATTGGTTTCTCAATATATTGATCCCCCAGAGTAGCCTCTGCAGTGTCAGGTTTTCACCCCTGATAGCTCCTAAAGTGAAGCTCTCACAATTGGACAAAAAGCAATCCAAAAAGCAATTTGCTTTCCCAATAATTTGGTTTCTCCAAAGGCGTGTGGTAGAAGGTATTTGTGCATTGCAGGGAGTGAGGAGTCAGCCTTCCCCAGAGGTTTCCTGCAGTGGAGCTGGAGTCAGAGGGCTTTGAATCCCCAGCCCAGGGCTGCCATGGTGGCTGTAGGTTCAAGGTGTGGCTTCCCAGGACAAGAGGGATTTGGATATCTTAAAGAGAGCAGTTGTTGAGATGTAGCTCTGCAGGCTCAACTTGGCTAACATTCATCATTCCTACTTCTCTTTCCTCTTCTATCTACCAGGCCTTTCTGGATGACAAGCTTTGGAAATACCTCTTTTTGGTGGTACACCAAGTCCATGTGCACCTTATGGAAGAGCTGTTGAGATTTTCACTTTATCAATCAAGCATGCTGTTTCATTTAATTAGCTTCCTTCCTAGTCAATTTGTGGCTATCTTTTCCTGCTTGTTGTAGGAGTGATGGGAAAGAAGCTAAGTCAATCAGTGAACCTACGTGTTCTCCCAAGGCTCTGTTCATTTCCCTCATTTATATCAACAGAACCTCTCCCCCAAAAGAAGAAACTTAGCTGTCTCCCATTTCTGTCTGCAGTCTGTCTCCTTTTAAACCATGGGGGTATTTCATATATTCCTCAGCTTTTGGCAGCTATTTGTGAATTAATGGGGTGAAGCGATTTCCCTGAACTTATCAGAAAATCTATGTAAGACAGCAAAGAAGAACAGGATCTGGTCCATCAGGTTTAGAGATATGGAGTCTTGGCTCTCTCGGACACTTCTGATCTCATGGTCAGGCACTGGCACAGGCTGCTCAGAAAGGTGGGGGAGTTACTATTCCTGGAGTTGTTCGAGAAATGTGGAGATGTGGTATGTAAGGGCATGGTTTAGTAGGAAATATTGGTAGTCAGTGCATGGTTGGACTGGATGACCTTAGAGGTCTTTTCCAACCTTAATGTTTCTATGAACTCAGGTGCTGACTAGAACAAACAAGTGGTCCAGACCCTGGATGCTTTAATAGCCGTCTCTTAAGAAAGAGATCTTCTCCCCACTGTCCCATGAATGCATTGCTTAGAAATTCAGCCTTTCATTCTGGTGAGCCTCATCCACGTTGTTCAGCAGAGATGCCGCTTGTTTGTCCTACATTTGTGTAATGCAGCATCTCATCTGTCCTAGGGGAAAGCAAAAAGCAGAGACAGAAGCTGAAGTTGTATGTTTGCTGTATAGCTAAATGGCTGTGGAGTGTACAAGTTGTAATGGCTGAAAGATGTCTTTACTGATGTAACAGAGAGCACATGGCTTGCTAAAAGGGAAAGATGATGGTTTCCCTGTGCAGTGTTGTTTGATTATATCTTCCCTCTCCCCAAACATAGACAACATTGTTGTACTTGCTGGTGTTGATTGAAGTCAGTTTAATTTATCTGCTCCCCCTGCAGCCACCACAATCTTGTAAGGCTAGCTCTTGGATAATTTTTTAAAGAAAAATAATTTTTTTGGACTATTCTAAGTTTTGTAAAATGCCACTGGAAAGAGAAATTTAATGTGAAACTTATTCCCCTTTCATAGTAATAATCGAGGGTTTCACTGTAAGTATTTTCTGTTGAATTGCAGGAATGGATCAGCCAAATAATTTTACAGCTTTGTGCACGTTGATGAATGGGTTCAACTCTAAGATACCTGAAGAGTTTCCCTTAATGTTGAAAAAAATGACCTAAGTTTAGAAATACATCCAGATCCTTTAGAGAGGAGTAATAAGCTTCTCAAAATGTTTTGTTTCTGATTGAGTAGAACATTACATTTAAACCAGAATGAATTGTGGGTGGAATTCCAATAAATTTGAAGCAATGATTTGCCCTGACAGTCCTTGTTTTATGAAAACAATGGATAATATCTTTAATTTAGAGTCTGTGACTCTGAGACTCTTGAAAGGCAATAAGTTTACATATGTGAAGTGTTAAGCAAAGACTTTTGCCACACCCCACCGGCATTCCTGGTGCACAGTGATGCTTTATGTACCATAGACTGTGTGTTTAAAAAAGGAGTTTAATCCAGGTTCTCTCTGTGTGATACTGCTATCCTGAGGGACGGTCTGTAAGCAGAAACCATAGTTTAAGCAGACAAAAGGGAGGAAATCTTTATGCCCTGTTTTACTCTGATGCTTCTCACTCCCCATTGGAAATGGAACCTGTCTGAGCAGGATGAGCTCTGGAGGCTTCCATGGATATGCAACGCAGGCAGGATTTTGAGTCCCAGTACTCCGGTACTGAGTGGAGAACAGTGAGAGAGGACGTGTTCAGAGTGGTTTGTGGAATGCTGAAGTTGACAGAACCATTGTGGGCCTGATGCTGAAGAACCTCCCCCATGAGGAGTTTGCAATCAGACAGCTCTCCGTCTCATCTTTATTCAGTTACTTTATTTTCAGGAGCACCAGTTTCACTCTGAAGTGTAACAAAGCAAAAGAAGTGCTTAATCAGAAGCCTTTTGTCACAGGCCATTTAGATCCTAAAAGACAGATTACAGGGAGAGCAATCCTTAAAACCAGAACAGAACAGAGATCTCTAATTGCCCAGGATCCATTTGTGCAGTTGGTGATGTGCTGCTGAGCTGCCTTTCTCAATCAGGATGGGTCTATTGCCTTCCTTTTTGCCTCATTTTCTACAGCTGTAAAGCAGATAATCTCTCACTTGCCTTTGCATCTACCCTAACTAGGGCTGTGTCTCTTTCACACACTGGGTGAAGTGTGATCACAGCTAAGCGATAGCCATTAAACCCTATCAAATTAGGATTAGCAAGGATGACTTCCCACATTAGATCAATTTAAGTTATTGGCTTGTAGAAGGAAAGTGTGATTCTTTCCTCTGTTAGCTGGAGCATGGTTTTCTTGTGACAGCATGGGGTATGATTGTAGTTCTCCCCTTAAAGTCATCAATTCTGCTTTGTACCTCTATTGCACCCGCTGCCTTCAAAACTGAGCTTTTCCTTTCAGCCTAGGCTGAGATAATCTAGCTGCAGTTAATGCACAGAAAGGCAGCAGGGAGGTCTTGGGGAAAGCAGTTCTTCATCAGACAGTTGTACAAATAACAGAGCAGACTAAGATAGGTTTTGCTGAGGAGTGTTATGGCAGCAGCCCAAAGGTTTTCTGCATTCATGTTTAGAGAGAACTGAGCACTGATGATGAGTTCCAGTGGTGTGTGGCTGAGCACAGGGAGAAGAATCACATCTCTTTTACATGCTGTTGCCCCTTTGGTCCTGGGAGAGCCTTCCTCCCCTTCCACTCCTATTTTTCTTGGATTCACAGGATCCTCAAAGATAAATACCACCCCACATGTGAACCTGTTCTGATCCAAAGCAAATCAGGTCCCCACCAAAGCTGGTGCAGACATCACATTCCAGGTTAGGCATTTAAACACCTCATGAAAAGTCAGCACCTTGCATCCTGGACTTGATCCTACCAGGTCTCCAGTTCCTCACATCAGCTTCGGTTTATTACATTTAATAGGCTGTGGAAGGGGCAGCAGCACTGAATTTAACTCCAAATGGCACTAATGGTAGCTGTTCCAGCTGTTTCCAGGAAGAGGGTGGCATACAGCAGGCAATGCTTGAGAATGAGGTGTATTTTCTCATCCATGGCTGCTGCTTAATACAAATATAATTAAATACTAGTTGCATACTGAGCAAAAAAAAAAAAATAAATAAAAAGCACCAAAAAACAAGATACCTGTATAAGATTAAGAAGATATTCACTGAACTTTCCTAGCCAGGCCACAGCTTCTACAAACCTATTACAAGGCTGTTAAACCTCACTAAATGTGTTTGCAATAACTACTTGCTGTTTCATTATGGAGCAATAACTCTCCTTATTGAGTCTAAATTAAATCCTTATTTGAGACACTTCATTTAAGGCGTTATTGGGAAACCCACCTTGGAAGAAGCAGAACCAACCTTTGCTTTATAGCTTACAAGATTATATTATACATATAATAGACATATGTATAAATGTCTAATTTCAGGGCATTACACCTCAATGGCTGCAGCTCACAGCTGTAGTCTCCAGAGTCAGACTTAAGGCATAGTCTGAGGCTTTTCGTCATACTGAGACCTCCAGAACTTCTGTAGCTCTCTTCTTTCCCGCTGACACCCCTTTTCTTTGCAGGTGTTACTGTATGGGGAACCAGCATCCCTCTTAAATTTCCTTCTACAGAAGCGTCCAGCTCTGAACTCTAGAGATGTGTGTCCCCAGGTCTGTTCAATCGCCTTGTTTAGGCTGAGGTGAGTTAATAATTTTCTGAAAGCTGGCATGAAATCCGTCCAAACACCTTGGTCCATTGTGAATAGGTAGAGAGAAAGCATGAAAGAGTTGATTTGCAGATTGGAGTATGATCATGTGGGACCCTTCTGGTAGCCCACGATGATGTGATTGGTTCAGCTAGGAGGCAAAAGACCAGCTATGTGCTTCATGACCAGTAGAAGTTACGGCGAAGGTCTTTGCTTAGGGAGCTATAGTGCCACCTCACATATGTCATGCCCATATAAAAGTCAAGACCGTGATTCAGGATTTAAAAAATATCAATAATATTGATCAGCACTGACTGGGAGCATTTACTTGTAGAACTCAGAGAGCTTTCTAGAGTGGTAGCTCTCTCCCACTTTACAACTGAGGCAATTGCAATGCCATTTCTAAGCTGTAATAGAGTGAGTGGTGGAGAGGTGATGATAGCTACCTCCTAGCTCAGTCCTCTTTGCTTGTTAAAGAAAAAGAGGTACCTTGTAGTGAATGTTTTCAACAACAATCCTTTGAAAATTCAGCATCCAGCAATGAAACTGTGTATGTAGAAATCACAATGGAAGGGGATGGGCTGGCCCAAAAGAGAACAGAATATTTTTAGATCCTTCTGCAGGTGATGGCCTAATGCCTTTCAGCTGCCCCTTGAAACAATAGTTCATCTATTACCATTGCCAAGGACACTACTTGCTCCCCTGGTTTAACTCCCTGGCTCTTTGAGGCGAAACAACTTGGGCTGAGGAACCACAGAAACCAGTCTCTGTTCTGCCCCTAGAAATGCTCTGGTGAAGAAATGTGAGAAAACCAACAGATCTGGGACTTCTGCAAGTTCATAATGCAGGGCACTTGCCTCTTGATAAGGAAATTATATTTCTAAAACAAAGCATTTCCAGAAGGAAGGGGTGAAAACTCTTCCATTCTCTGTCCCTTCCTCCCATTGAGATAATCTATACTGCTAACAGACACATAATAAACACAACCCATCTGGGTCCTTTAGAGCTGGAGACATTCACATCCTTGTCAGACTCTAGACTCAGCATCTTGGGTCTATTTCTAACACAAAGCAGAGAATTTTGCCTAAAAGCTATTGCTGGTTCTTGGAGAGGAAAGACATTTTGAATCTTGACAGTCCTGGGGCTGGGCTAACATCATTATACCAGTGTTTTCTCCTCCCAGAGTCCTTCCAAACTCAAGAGTCTGTGTTTATACAGTTCTTAGCCCAAAGGGGGCTCATTCTGTGTTGGCCCTTTGGCACTGCAGCAATAAACAGGATTAATAACTGGAGTCAGCAGGGCTCAGTACCCGTTAGAATTTCCCATGGACTATCCAGAAGGTGCTGTTCTTACAAGCATCTTGGCAGTGAATTATTTATGGGCAGCATAAGGATCGCAGTGCTTGCCAGTTTATTAGATTTATAACTAGCTGTGTTAGGTCCATTGTGTGTGTGTCTGTGCATGTACGAGCATGTACTTGTTCAGCTGTTTCTCTTCAGTCCCCTGTTAGTTAGGGAAGATCTGCTCACATGCATTTCCAATATAAACACATCACTTTGTGACTCAGATGTGAGAAAATCCAGGAGAGGCATAGGATTGTTACACAAGAAGGAAAAGCTTCTTTAGGTGCCTTAACTACAGATGCAAACATTCATCCAAGCATAGGTTGAAAAACTGAGACCCAAGATTATTTGAAGAGTGAGAAAGTTTGGTTTTCTTCTGAGTTTCACAGCTTCTTAGAGCTGTGCTTGTGTGGTTTTTATATGGAGACGTGAACTTGAACCTCCTTTTATGGCAGATGTATTGTTTTGATGCCCAAGGAACTCCAGATGGGCAGTCTGCTGGTTGGGTACTGCGATGGATTTTAAACACAATTCTCTCTTCAAACCCATGGAGAGGAGCACTTGCCTTCCAGCTAATGTGTGCTATTCCAGTTCCAACAGAACTCTGAGTAGATGTTATTAACAGCTCATCTTTTCCTGTTCTCTCTGATACATCTGTGCTATGATGTTGCCAATAGAGTCATCACTGCATCTGAAGGTGCTGGATTAGAGCCATGAAACTCTACAATACCTCCTTCTGAAGAGGCACAGGTGACTGTATTGCTATCAACAGAGGTGACAGGAGCAAAGACCTTTCTTCATGCAAATGTTCCAAGCAAGGAAGCAAAACCTCTTATAGCTGGAGAAGAACTGGCTGAAAGCAGAATGTTTTGCAAAGTTTTCTGAGAGTCCTCATAAACTCTGCTGTAGAGAGAACCTCTTTGAGCTGTTCAGTAAATTGGATGGTTTAAATAATATATGGACTGTCTTTCTGGATTCATGAGAACTGCTGTGAGAAGCATTGACTTGTTCAGACTGCAATAGTCTTCTTTCTTTTGCTTTAAAAAGTTAACTTCACTAGGCATCAAAATCTCACATCTGACTTCGGAATCTGCGTCTGGTGAGACCTGAGCTGGCTGGTGTGCATTTCACAGCTCTGTTTTTGTGTTGTCTTGCTTGAGTTCCCAAATGCACTTTTTCTAAAGGTTATTTAAAAAAATCTCAGAGCAGAAAAAGGAAAAAGGCATTCTCCTTACAAAAATGACCCGGTCCACCAATTTCTTATTCCTGACCAAGTTCAGATACCTACCTCCAGCCTCTGGACTCCTATGTTTATTGCTATTTGAACTCAGTTGTGTATAAAGTCTGAAGATCAACAGCTCACTGGACTGTATTCTTATGTGTTCATCCCATGACTCCATCCATCTCTAAGTGCCGAAAGATGCTTTCAGAGAGTTGATCCATATTACCATGCTAAAGTCTAGTGGGATGTGAGCAAGACCAGGACAAAAATGTTATTAGGGGCAATGTCTTCATTTTTTACTCTCCAAGATTACCTCAGTGAGATCTATGCCTTTAAGCCCTATCTCCATAGTTGAACGAGGGGTGAATAACTACAGCATCAGAAACATCATGGAAGAAGAGCTGCCCATGCAAGGATTCAATAGGAGCCTTGAGCCAGTCAGCATTGCTTTCAGTGTCTAAAAACAGTTTACTCATGCTAGGATCCCTCTACAGTCAATGGGGAGAAGTATGCTGTTAGGATTGTGATTCGTGTGATCTACTTTAGGCATCTACTTTGAAATTGGATGAATTGCACCTCTGGTTCCATTGACTGTATATTGATGAGATGTCTGTCTACTGTAAGAAAGGAGCTTTGGGTGACTAGCTTTGACTTAGAGGCCTGAATTTAATCAGATTAATCCACCTTGTATCTCTATATGTACACAGTTCTCTCTTGTTGCCAAATAGACATGACAGGCATGCAAAGAAAGCTGTTTTTGGCTTTTTTTTCTTTTTTTTCTCTTTGGGACTCTGCAAAAAAATCAGAAAGTATTCAAAAAGAGCAGCAATGTTAGGTAGGGATAACTTGTACCTGAAGCTGGGTAGTGAATAGTATTTGATCCTCCTCAACAAATTTGCAGGAATCAAGGGCAGTAAGGGTGATTTTGTGCCTAAAAATAAATATATCTTGGTGAAGTGAGCTTTCCTGGAGTCTTCTGGCAATTTGTGACAGAAAGGAAAAAGGTCCTCCCTCCCCTACTGAGATATTCTTCCTTGAAAGCTTTGAACAATTACTGCATTTTACCTTTTCCACCGCAGCATGGATGCTTTCTTCTTTTTAGCAGTTTGTCTATGAGCATTTTAGCTTCAGTTTAATAAGAGAGGATTGATGCTTACACTCTCTATACAGGTTGTACAGGGCAACGTTTCTGCTTGTCATAGTAGGAACATTATTGAAAAAGACATCAAAGACATGTGGATGGGGGAATAATAATAAAAAGCAACATGTTTTCTTTCTCTACTACAAAACAAAACAAAACAAAAAAGAAACAATGATTCCCCATTCACCTCCCCCCCCAAAAATGAAAAGGCAACCCACATCCTAAAACGAAAAGCAGGTGCAAAGAGAGGTTAACAAATCTTGATGATGTAAAATTGTCATTATGAAAATGGAAATTTACCAAAACAAAATGATAATACATTCTGTACAACCCTCCCGCTGGGAGTAAAAAGAAAATCTCACCTATTTGCCTCACAGCTCTGGCAAAAGTGACCTGGCTTCAACCAAAATCTACAAAAAAGTGCCTTCATCCACTTTTTTATTTCAAGTACCCACCTCCCCAGAAGATGTTTTGAGAAGGGCTGTACAATGACCGAAAAATAAGGAAGTAAATTTTTAAGAATGCTGTCACAGAACTGTTTCTCTTATCATAAGATGTCTGCACTGCAAGTGCACACCAAGGACCACTCTGGGAGCCTGACATCAAGACAGCATTCCCTTACAGGACCATGGTTATGCCTTCCATACACCACGGGTTTTCTTCCCAACAGTTTGAACTCACACTGATGCTTCTTTAGACCCATACTTCCACCTCCATGCTTTAAATTGAACCTCTAATAGTGTCTCTCTTATTGTCCTCTATAGATGTCTTTATGTAGTGAAAGCTGGTATCAACAACCTGTCCATTCATTATATATCAATGGTGGGAAATCCAGGAGAGAACATGTGAGTTTTTCTCCATTGAACGGATGGACTTGGGCTTGGCTTTGCTCCCTCAGAGGTCAGTAGAAATTATCATGCTATGGATGGAAAGAGCAATAGCTTCAGGCCATGTCAACACAGATAGCCTTTCTGGAACTCTAAACAGCAACCCAAGCCTCTTTATGTCAACACAGAAAAGCCTCAAAGCTGAAGATTGTTGATTATGTTCCTGGAAACTGGGATTCTTTCCTCAGGAGTTGTTTCTGTTTCTAGTACTCTGAAGACAGAAAAGGTAGCCAGATTCCATGTCAGGAACACAAAAATCCCTCAGTCATCCTTCTCTCATGCAGAAGTCACTTCTGGATGAAATCTACTTTTTTTGCTTCTCCCTGTCACTACATAGGTTCAATGGGTCTTCTCAGATTGGTCTCAGTGTGCCAGGCCATGAAAGGCTGGGAGTAAAAATGTGCTCAATAGCAGCTTTATACCGGCAGAATCCTATGTTGTGCTGCAAAAGCATAGGGCCTGCTTTTTAGTGACTTGCTTCTTTGCATCTATTTTTTGCATTTGATCTCTTCTACTTTGAAAAATACCAGCTGCAAAATATACCAGGTCTGACTGCGTAGTGAAATGAGTGGATGGCTGCAGAGATGGATTGCTAGTGCCAGAAAATTGCCTGATAAGATGGGTAACTACCAGATAAGATGGAAGGCTTGGACACAGATCTGTGGATCTCAGATGTAGAAGTTCAGCTCTTTCATTTCAAGGCATGCCTGTGTAGATGAACCCAGTCAAAAAGAGGTTGTATTTCCAAAAGGACCTTTGCGAGTGTGACTTCTTCTGCCTACATGAATTACTTTGCATCAGTCAGCTTTGATCTTCTAAACCACTCCTCAAGGCAATGGACAACTCCCTTCAAGGTTTTTCTGCAGATTATTAAATGTAATGTACCTATAATTTCAATATCACATCCTGCTCAGAACTCATTAGAGCTCAAAACTGGCATAAGTAGCAGTGAAATCCTTGTTCTCATCTTAAAACAGCCAGAAGAATTAAATGATGTAGATGTAAGCTTAGCTTCTAGCAAAGCAAAAGTAAACTGTGGAGAACAGGCTACTTGCAGGGGAAAGGGACCACAGAGATATGGAAGGGCACTCATCCATATTTGCTGAAGGACGAGTTGATGTCCAAGGACAGCCTCCCAGGCTTGTTATTCCATTGCCAATCCTCAATGGCTCCATTGTCTTCGTGGCATTTTTCCTGATTGATACCTCTTGTCATTGACATGAGAATCTGCTCCCTTTACACTTTATGAGAAGCCAGGTAAAATAATTCCACCATGCCTTCCTTTTTATGAAAATGGAGCAAAGCATGGCACGCAGACATTCAATCTCCCACCGGAGATAAAGCGCCTTCATTTACTAGCTCAGAAAATCAATACCTGTGATTTGATATGAGCATTTATTTTCACTTAACTCCTTTCTATCACTGAGCCATTGGGGGAGGGCAGGAGAGCTTCATTTATTGCAGCGGGATTTGCAGTGAATGCTACCCAGTCAATTGCATTTCACCGCGTTCACACATTCATCTGTCTTGCTGATATCTGTCTTATGTTTCTCTGCCTTTCCCAGTGGGATCAAGGAAGGGTTGTGTCCAGAGACATTGAAAACTATGGTCCAGGGTCTAATAATTTGGATGGTGGCGTTGCTGCCCTGCATCTTTTTTATTATAAGCCTATGTGTGTGACTAGAAGGCAGCTTTCTGAGCTGGTGAAGGGCAGGATAGCTCTTGGGAGCTAGAGGGTTGATTCTGGAGCTGAGGAGTGTGGTGTCCACATGAGACACAAATATTTAACTTAAGGGGAAAGGCAGGAAATTCTACATGGGATCTGTACTGGAGAAAGGGAAAAGAGAGAGAAGAGAATCTGAATGAAACCACTTCCTTGCAAGGATAGGGTTGACTGTCAATGACGTGCTGGATGTGGCAGCACTTGGCTGACGAGGGCTGTAGAAACTTCGTGCCCCGTGGGGACAGCCCCCTTCAAAATATTAATGGGACCAAGTGGTTTTACAAGTTGTCTGGGGTCAACTTAGGTATTAAGAAAAATTTCTTCTCAGAAAGAGCAGTGACACATTGGTACAGGCTGCACGGGGAAGTGGTGGAGTCACCATCCCTGGTGGTGTTGAAGAAGATGTCACACTGAGTGACATGGTGTATAGCAGTCACAGGCATGCAGTGATGGTTGGACTCAAAGATCTTATTTGTCTTTCCAACCTTAATGATTGTATGATTCTATCTTCAAATACTGGAAGAGTTCTCCCAGGGGTGTAGTCACATTGCTATGGGGGGATGATAACTAATGTTAGCTGCTGCTCCCAGTGATGGTGTGGAGGCCTGTGGGTGGGTGAAGAAATAAATAATAAACAAAAAGTCAGCTTGTCAGTGTGTGAGGATGGAAATGAAGAGCACTGACCAGTGATGACCTTTTGTTTACATTTCCCTTCGAAAGGGAGAAATAATTGCAGTTTCTATGTGATGTTGCCTTCAAATTACACCCTCTCTCCCTGCTGTATTCAAGACTAGCCAGTGATGACATTAGAGTCTTGAATCAAACTAAATGGTTACTATGGTGTCAGGCTGAAATTATGAATCTCAGAGCCCGCCAGCTTGGAGAGGCAGCAGTGGCGGACACATAATTAAAACTGGAGGAGAGAATAGAAGCCACATTGTATCTGAATAGCAGCAAGATTGCACTTCCGAGGAGCAGTTACAAAAAAAAAAAAAAAAAAAAAAAAGTGCTTAGCAATGCAGCTAAATGCATAATCAGGGACCAGGAACAATGCACTGTGCTGGTATTTCACTGCTGGCTTTCCTTTGGTACCTCCAGATCACAGCCCTCTCCAGCATCACCTTCGCAGTGAAAAAGACACAAACCCGACGGCTCAACACTTGCAAGGCAGAGCAATGCTGCAGCCTCGTGTGCCCTTCGACTCACTCACTTTCCCTCGGCCAGGCCTCAAGCAGAGCAGTGATTGAAGAGAGGTGGAGGTAGGAGCGGGGTGCTGGGAAGCACGACGGATCTGGTAATTTCAGCGGTCATTAGTGGAGCTCATTGTGAGTTTGATAGATCTGTGCTGCTTTGTTACAGTTAAGTGGACTGATTGTGGAACACAGAAACGTTTTTAGTGACATGACAGCTAATTTAGTAAGGGGGGAGTGGTGGGAAAAGAACACGCATTATTCCATAATTATATCTTGCTCTGTTCCAGCCCCGTGACTGACTCCCCTGAGAACATAACTCTGGTTTCTCTGACACCCCGAACAAGAGCGAGATGTCAGGATTCTTCCTTTGGGCTGCTGCGTGGTGAGTCCCAACCTGCCTGTGGTCTTTCATGTGCTACCCCACTCCTGTACCTGCTGAATGCCAGCACCAGTGCTGTTCAGCCAGCCATCACACTGCCTAAACAGCAGGAAGAAGAATCCTTCATACAGTGCAATAGATTTTGTTCTCACCTCTGTTGCATGTCAGACACTGCTCATTCTTCCACCCCTGGAGAGATGGGATTGTCCAAAGTGGGTTAGAGGAAGATTTGGGAGGGGAGAGAAATGAGCTATGTTATTTATACCTGGAGCATTCCTGCCAGACCTGTTTCCCTCCAGGAAACACTTTGAGTTGTTACCAAGTGGCAGAAATATATTTAATTGGGTGATAAAAAGTCAGACTAGGTTATGTCATTAACTATAGACAGAAGTATCTCAGCACCAGTTGGTGCTGAAGGTTATCATCCATGTCATTTACCATGTACAGAAGCTCTAAAGAAGATTTATGAACTCACTTTTTAGATAAAATGTGGGCCAAGCTGGGAGCCTTGTTTAGCAAAATGTTTACATATATTCTTGGTATTTAGATGCTATGGAAGTCAGGACATCAAGACCTTAATGGTGTTACAATAGAGAGGAGTAGAAAAAACGGGCAGAAATTATTATTTTTTTTAATCACGAGGCTCAAAATGCCTGAGCTGATTGCTGCTGTCAGGGATGGATCAGTGAAAGAACAGACAATGTTTCCACCCTCTCCCAGTCCTGGCTCCACCTATGCAGATAATTAAAGGCTAACAGAGCTGGATCCCAATACTGTAGAAGAAAAATATCACATCTTTTTAATTGACCGCCTGTAATATAAAGAGATCTAGGCATGGTTGGTGGGCAGTACAAGAGTTGCCTTCCATCTTTCTTCTTTCAGATCTTACAGTCTGCATTTCAGGAGAGAGAAGGAAAAATAATTGAAATGCAAAGCAGAAGGGTTGGGAGTTGGCAGGAAAGCCAGAGAGGCGGTCCTGTGAGCTCTGCATTGGGAAAAGTCCTCTAATGCAGCTGCTATAGTGGGCTATTTTTAATGTGCTCTGGCTGTATTTGCACTTTCAATTGCTGTCATTAGGAAAGAGATACCAACTCTTGTAATTATTACATCAACATGGTTCATTGGAGGTAGCCACCTCCCTGTTTTGAACACCTGCTGGATGCCTTGCCATGTTCTGGAAGTCAGGTGGATCTGCTCCAATGACTAGTCAGGTCATGTTATTGGGACTTGTACATTCCTCCTGTATCTTCAGCTTTGGATGGAGACCTTTATGGCCCAAGGACCAAAGCAATTGAACAAGCCAGGCTGAAGCCTCTCCAGGCAGGAGCTGAGGGGTGTTTCTTGATCACATGGAACTTCTCTTTGCAAATCTGACCTTCATGTCAGCCTGTACCTGGCACAGATAATCTCTCCCAAGAGGAGTGCTAAACTGAAGAAGATGGGCCTCTGTGTCCTGTGTGAGTCTCATAAAGAGGGAACTAAGAGAGCTCTGTCTCTGGAAATACACAGGGATCTGTGGTAAGAGTCCCCACTTTTGGGCACCCTTGGATAGAGGCAGACTGTAGAATGCTGTTTGACCTTCCTTTTTTGATGGATGCAGATCTTCAGAAAAGAAATATCAAACTAGGAGTTGTCTAGATTTAACAGCCAACATGAAGACTCCTTGGCAAACTTAGGAGGTGCAATTTCTTGCAGTTATGGGTTTCACAAGAATTTTAGATTTTTAAAGAAAGGGAGAAAAACATCTCTCTAGAAAGACATAGGTTAATCCCAGCTTGAAGTGGAGGGGATTTTAACAAGTTCTTTCCTATTTCTTCTTCAGATTAGAAAAAAAATTAATAAATTCTCTTCTTGTCAATGATAGCCTATTTTCATCATCATGGGCAGATAAAAAGTTTTCTGGCCTCAGTTGCTTCCTTTTACAGCAAAGCATGAATTATATTATTAAGAAAAATACTCAGAAAATAGAAATATTTGGCCAACTCTGTTAAGCTTTAATTAAAATTAATATTACACCCTACTGGAGCCAGAAATCTGAAGCATCACATGTAACTGAATATATTTAACCAATTAACTAAGTCAAACAAGGCTGTCTAAACTTAATCACAGATCTCTCCATTCCCCTATTACGTCAAGTGCTGCTAATGCTGTTATACTTTTGACAAGTGGCCCCTGGTCACTGAGCAAATCAATAATGTATTTGAGCTAGAGAAGAGAGGAGAAAGGAGCTGAGCACATTTGCATTCCTGTAGTGCCTTTAGTTGATGATCTCGAAGAGCTATGTGAACTTCCAATCTGTTAAACTTCCAGCAGTGTGGGGAAACAGAACCGGGTAGTCAAATTCCTCACCTTTGCAGATGACCCAACAGGATGTAGGGAATAAGTTCTACAACAGGGCTTCAGGCATAGGTCACAAGGCCCTCCTATGCAAGAACGTTGGTTTATGGCAAACCTCTTGTTGCCTGTGCTCCCCATAAGACACACCTGTCCTAGTTCCCACCTTACTTGTGACTCCCATGGGACACTGAGCTCCATTTCCTTCCACGGAGTTGTGTTCTCTGCAACTTCAGCACTGAAGTCTGTCTCCAAAGTTGCTTGGACCAAACTTTGTCTGCTTTGGACTCATCTACACGATCGTCCTGTCATTGTCTTATAGTTCCATAGTTCTTTTGTACTTGTGACCCTCTCCCAAGCACTTTCCAAGCTCTCTGTTGTGTAGGATGTGTTATGATCCACTCAGGCTGACATAAAGGTGCAATACAACTTGGTTGTACTGGTCTCTCTTGGTAGAGAATAAAGCCTTCCAAAAATTTTGGGACTAGTGAAGTTTTAAATCTGTGAAAGAATTAACATTTAATTTTAGAGTGCTCTGCAATAACAGTTGATCTCTTTGCTGGTTGCCTACTATTGATATTCATCCTGAATTTTCTGATTATTAGAACAGAAGTGTAGGGATATATTTATAATATCCCTTGTACAATAAATAGAATAAGTATTTATACAGTGACAAGACTTGACTGTTTATCCTGAAATTTGAAAGACCTTTCCAAACACTAAAGCAATAACTCAGGTGTGCAGAGCAAACATTTTAGACCCACTGTAAAGGAGGAAATTGAGACCATGAAAAATCCATGTGTGATTTGCCTGATGTGACATATTGGATGTGGGGCTGAACTGAGCAAAAAGCTTGTGGGATTCTTTCTCTAAGTCCTAGATACTTTTCCTGTAAATTTTAAAAAAATTTTACTCCTCCTTCTCATGGGAGAAATACATCTACAAAATGGTTTTCCGATAATGGGCCACTTGGTTTCATCACACTCTGATTAACAGATCTTTACATCTCCAGAGAGTAATGGACTGGTGACAGTGATGCTACATCACCTCTTCTGAATGCAGGAGCTCAGTTCCGTGTTTGGCAGCTCTAGGATGAACCAGTGGAGTTTCCTTGACCTCAATGGGGATCGATTCCGTTTGGAGCTTGTAGCAACTGATGTCCAAGGGAGCCCAAGTCCCACCCATCACATGGCAACAGGAAGGTAAAGAGTGACAATTGTGCTCAAAGTGAACAGATAGTTAGAGGAATGAAAGGCAAAGATGACTCATCTCCCAGAAAGCAGAGTAGTCAAAGGAAGAAAGTTACTATAATGGTAGATAAAACCGTTATACATGAAAGGAAACTTTTGGCTACGCTGATGCTGTGAAGTTGTGTTTAGAGGCTTGAAGGTATGGAAAGGGGGTAGAAATTACTAATAAGAAAAGAAAGATGAGGGGATTTCTATTATTAAAAAGGAAAGAGGCTCTGAGTGGAGGTGGAAAGACTGGTGAAGGCAAGCACTCCATGAGTTCTTGAATTTTCGGGGTAGGGAGTTGGAGCAACTTTGTCACAGCGCCGAAAATCCCAGAGTCCCTTGGGCAACACCTTTTGTGCTCTGCCTCTGCAGGGAGTTGGGTTTATGAGATAATGATGTTATTTCAGCACAAACTCTTTCATTCTTGCAGTGAATTAAAAGAAGAAAAAGAAAAAGGGGGAGGGGACGGGCTGTGGGGGAGAAACCAATGTTATTTACTCCTCTGCAACTGACATTAAAGGCTCCTTTAAGGGCCAGTGGGTTATTAACATCCTGTCGCCTGCCACAATGATATGCTGTGACATATTGTCACTGCATTCCAGCGAAGCCTTAAACATTAATTGGGAAGTAAGATGAGTGAAGCGGCTTTAATGAGATACCTTGTTGTAACTTCTAACTTTACACATTATTTACAGTGATTCCGCTAATGGTTCCATCCATCAGGGAGAGAGATTGGGGAGGAGAGCAGGGGAAGCAGGGGGTGAAGAAAAAAAAGATAGGTATCAGAAGTGGAATGAGAAAGGCTGAGAGCAAGGTGGGAGGTGTGGAACAGAGGGAGAAGCACCATCCCTGGGGTGTTCATCCCCCAGCTTTACATTCCTTCTGTCATTTTTCATCACACAACCATTTTTGCAGCAAGAAGACAGGGAGGGAGGTTATTCCCGAATATAGTCCCACCAATCAGCCTGGTTCTGAGCCCTCAGTGTTGCTATCTAAACCCATTACTAGTGCCAAAGCAACTTGTCTTAAACTGCCCTAGGTTCCATCCCATGACATGGATATGCCAGGTAAGCCCAGACCAATGTGACATCCCACTGCCCCTTCACAGCAGGAAGGAGGCACAAGAGGTTTGCAAAGCAGATACACTGTCCACCTGCCCAGGTGACAGGTAGAGCTACCACGCAGTAGGGATTGTGGCAAATACAGATTTAGAAGGGAAGATGTGAGTAGACTGCATTCTACCTGCAGGTTCTGCCTGGTGTGATATCCAAATTTGCAGTTAGTTGGTAGAACAGGAGTTCCATGGCAGCACAGCCCACCCCATCAGCTCTGCCCACCTCTGTAAGACCAGCATGGCCCTGAGATCAATTGGACAGCAGTGATTGCCACTGTCTGTGCTCTAAATTGTAGCCCTAAGCCTACAGCATGAAGAATGCTGCACTGGCAGCCCCAGAGCTGCAGACCTCTGGGAAGGGCTGTGAGACCAGGTTAGATCCTATTACCGTGATGTTTGTCCTTCTCTCAGCACCAGGGTCAAAGCTGAGCAAATGAATCCAGTTTCCATGTTCCCTTTATCCCTTAAAAGAGTCAGCTGGGTTTGTGAATTGGCTGTGTAGAAGGGAGAAGGATTTGGCCCTGTTTGAATTAGGAGCAAAATAAAAAATCCTGGAGCAAGAGAAGATCATAATTATAATAATATGGCCTGGCAGAAAAGTGCCCAGAGCACCAGGTATGTCATTCCTAGCTGGAAGGCATTTGCCCTGGATTACAGACTACATGGCTTCAGGATGCTCCGTGTGCTGGCAGGTTTATGCTCCCTGTTCTGTTTTCCATTAAATCATTTCTATCCTTGTGAAACAGCAAAGCCCCACAGAAGCACATGCAATCACAGCTAATGGATTCCAGTTATATTTCTAGATTTAAAGTATACTCCTTTTTGGGCTGAAATGGAGCAGGCAAAGAGACAATTAATTGCAAGTATGGGTGTATAAAAAGCACCTGGGGATAGATCAGCTGGGGGAAACACACGGAGCTCAACTGCACATGCGTGTGCTGACAGCTCCTTTTCCTATGAAAATTTGAAATTCTGAACTCCACTCCCTGCTACCTGTCAGGGTTGGCGTGCCTTTAATTATAATGTCTGCATGCTTCTTTAGGCACCATTTAATTCTCTCTGACAGCCACCCATTTAAAAAGAAAGGCAAACACTCAGAACTTAGTGGCAGATCGGAGCCAGGCGAGGGATGTGCTAATTGCCAGATGTTGTTCATTTGACTCTGATCCATTACCAAAATTAAAGAAGAAAGAAATGGAAATAGGAAAAAGAAAAAAAAATCCCACCCCGCCTCCTTACATAGCTGTCTGTAGGTCGGAGTCACTGCTGTTAGCTAACTTTCTCCAACAGAGCACATTGGGGTGTTTCTGCGTTATCAGCCTCACAGGCCAAGTCACTTTATGCAATGGACTGTGGAGCATCTCTCCTGGGGTCCGGTGTTCAGCAGCTTCCAGGGTAGCAAGGAAATATTTCCCCACAGTGCAACCATCTGTAGTCTCTTTCTGACATTTCCAGTAGCTAATCTGCTTTATCAGAGATGAAAAATTTCCATAGCTGGTGGCTCAAGAGAACAGAAATCAGAAACTCAGCCGAGATTTAAAGTAACTCTTGACTTGGATGGTTACTAGCACCCGGGGCATCTCTTGCGCTACTTACTTGGGGAAAGAGGATTGCTTTGTGCCAAGGTAAGGGAAACAAGGTCAAGTATGAAGATCAGAAAGGTTGTGGATGCCCATCCCTGGCAGGTTGGATGGGCCCCTGGTCAACCTATCCGGTGCCTGATTTAGTAATTGGCAACCTTCCTCAAAGCTAGAGGGTTGGAACTTGGTGATCTTTGAGGCCCCTTCCAACCCAAGTGATTCTATGATTCTAAGACTGCTCCTAAAGCCCATCTGAAATGGATTTGGGCATCGCCTAGTAGGTTCCCTAATACATTTTGCCTCTGTTAATCCCAAGGGGAGTTTCATTTATTCACCAGTGATTCCTAGTGACCCAGAAATAAACCAGGAAGGGGTCCCTGCAGGATAGAATGTGGCCTACTGCAGGAAAGAATGCACGACTTTATTTTGAGCCACCTTCCTTGCCTCCAAGGCAAGGTTTTCCTGATACATTTGAAGAATTACATATGTGCCTAAAATATGCAATTAAGCTCATGGCTCACATATATTCATTGAGCCCAAAAGAGACCAGAGCATCTATAAATATTGAAGCTTTCTCTTTTTTTTTTTTTTTTTTGGAATTACTCATTCCTTTATAACTAAAAAGTAGGACAGATGAGCTGTGAAGGAGGTAACAAGGCAAAATTAGTTTTCTGTCATTTGTGGCTGCTCTAATCCACATGAAAAGGTTCTGAACAGCAGTGTTTAGGTCCTCCTCCCTCAGTGGGGTAAATGCTGGGAATCATTAAACAGGCAACCTGGCTGTGCCTAAATCCTTCATCTGTCACAGGGATTTGTTTTAGAAAGCTCTACTCTTGCATGAGATATATTTGGATTTGGAACACAAAGAGTATCTTCATTTAATAGCTCGCCATTCTTATCAAGTTGGCCTTCCTTGGGGCTGTACTTTTAGTTCTCTGGGAGTTTATTCTCATAACAGGCTCATCTATCCCTTTGTCAGATATTCTTTTAAAATGGCCCCTGTGTAATAAATTGGCTTAGTTCGGGAAAATTCCTTCCCTTAACTGGTCCGTATGGACAAGCAAAACCCACTATTAACTGCATAGCAATAATGTTTTACAAGGACATTTCTGGCTTTCTACCCGCTAAACATACAGTTTAATTTTGACAATATTTTTAAACAGGCTGTAGGGTGTCTCGTCCACACTTTGCTGAAGAGGTCAGCTACCTTGTACGTGGCTCCATTTGCAGCCCTCTCACATTTTTGATCTCCAAACACGATGCATGAACAACCTGAACGGCGGGGTCCCCATGGTGGGCAGTACCCTGATGACAAGAAATCATGCTGCCAGGCTGTACTGCCTACATGGGGTGGAGCTCACCAACATGGCACCACTCTGCTTTGGGACCCAACAAATTGGAAGCATTTGGTTAGAGGACTTCAACTGCAGGGGCCCAAAGGGAATTGCAGCGCTGTGTTGCAAATACTGCCTGGAGAAGCACTGCTTATACATGGGACAGGTGATAGCTTGTCACTTGCCTGGTGCAGAACTGACTCCAGTATGTTTGTTTCTTTAGCATCAAAGCATCAGTGGCAGGTCTCTCTCCACCATCTTGCTCTGCAGATGTGATACCACTTGTTTCCCTTTTCACCAAAAGTCCAGAGTTAACTTGAGGGCTCTCAACTTCAGGATGGGCATCATTTGGCAAACAGGCTGCAGTAGTCAGCCAAAATGTTCCCTACATGAGCTGTAGATGAAATGCAGCGTGAGCAGAAGGGAAAGGGGTAACTATATTATCTTTTCTCCCTAATAAGGAGCGATACAGGCAGAGAATACAGTATACAGTTCACTTAACTAATTTTCTAACCAGCAGTCACTGCAATGTTCTCTCTAGGATTAGAGAGGACAAGGGAAGAAGCAGAATAATAAATCCAGACTGGCTTTTTGCAAGCTGCAATCATATCATTATAGAAAGGAGTTTAAGGACATCCACTGTGGGGAGAAAAAATTAAGAACAGAGGCCATTTCAGCTCACCCTTGGCAGCACAATTAATTAAAATTAAATTCAAGGAAAAATAAGTTTAATATGCCATCTGAATAATATCTCCTATCTAAACAGTGTTCTCGGGCTATCTGCACGAGTTAGGTGATTTGGATGGGAAGATGCCTCATCTTGGGTTGTAATGGATCTATTTCCCACCTGCCACTGCTACCTGGACATCAGCCCTCTGCTGCAGCCCGCACCCTTCTCTTATCCCAATAGGAAATGTAATGGGTGGTGAAGAACAGGGAAGGCTGGCACAGCTGCACCCAAAATGGCTCTTGAGACAGCCGTTGGCTTTGGCCAGCTCTGCCTCTTTCTGCCCACAAAGGGTCACGAGCCCTTCTGAGGTGGGTCTGTGGTCACCAGGCATCACCCAACTCTTGGGAAACTGTGGATCACTGTTCAAAAGAAGGGAGTTTTAATTCATTTCTGTGTTTCTCATTCCAACAAGGCTCCCAAAGGAGAGCCCAAATGGACCAGCCTGCAATGTATCCTTATTAAATTAGATAGCACTTACTGCCCAGGCCACAGCCCTAAGGACAGAGAATTACATGAGTTTTCCATCTCTCCCATCTCGTTATAATCGACGGACAAAAAATAAAATGCCAATAGGGGAAGAAGGTTAAGTCCCTTGAGGCAAATCCCCATCTTGCAGCACTGGGTTGCCATTGGTTGCTTAGAGCAGCTCCAGCTTTTATCTCTCTCCCAGTCCCTGGCAGACGAGCGGTGTCAACTCTTTGAAAATAAACCTGAGTGAGTAAGTCTCTATCTCCCACAAATCAACATTACTCTGCTGACCATATCAGGTCCAGTTTCCTCTTGCTTCAGTTTTCAGGCATCTGAGAGGGCTTTGCTGCTGCAGTGCACAATAGGTGGGATTGCTGTTTTTAATCACCAGAACAGAGCTTTGCCACTCACATATCTCCCACCACCAGTTTACTGTGTAATTGCATAATTATTTAGCAATGTCAAAAGTGCATCTAGATTGCAGGAGATGAAGCTGTGAGTGTCTTTGAAGAGATGCTCAGGAAGGGCTTGCTATGATACAGATACACCTGCAGGCATGGAGAAGAGGAGATGGGGAAGCTTTTCTTTCAGACTGGGTCTCCAGAGGCTCTTTATAGCCAAGAAAATGCGGTGGCATTATTAAAAATGATAATTGTGTCATGCAAAATGAAATGGCAGGTGGTAAGCAGAGTTTGGGGTGGAACAGAAGAGATATGGATTGTTTTACTGCAGCTTATGGATATTACAGCAGCGCCTGCAGGGACTGATCCAAAAATTAGTTGGCATCTTCTCTATGATTCAGAGGAAGCTTGATCAGGCCTCTTAAAGTCAGGAAGATGCTGAGTTCACAGCACTGGGGCTGAACTCAATTTACAGTAATGTGCAGGAGATCAGCCTGAGATCTGCTGGGTGGAAGTGCCCAGACATGTCTGCCTGTATGATCCTTCTGGACACAGAAAACAAAACATTGGCATTAATGTTCCTCCATCTGTATTTGAGGTGATCAGATATACCTCTTGATTTTCAACTTTGCATGATGCCTGGCAGTGCATCCCTCCAAAAGGAAGTGGGAAGATTAAAGAAAGACTTGGAGGCCCTGGAATGTGCCCAGAGAGGGGCAATGAAGCTGTGAATAGTCTGGAGCACAAGTCTTGTGGAGAGTGGCAGAGGGAATTGGTGTTTGTTCAGTCTGGAGAAGAAGAAGCTCAGGGGAGACCTTATTGCTCTCTACAATGCCCTGAAAGGAGGCTGTGGTGAGGTGAGTGTCAACCTCTTCTCCTGGCTAACGGTGACAGGATGAGAAGCGATGGCCTCAGGTTGCACCAGAGGAGGTTCAGGTTGGGTATTAGGAAAAAGTTCTTCTCTGAAACAGTGGTGATGCACTGGCACTGCTGCACAGGGAGTGGTGGAGTCGCCATCCCTGGAGGTGTTCAGGAGCTGCGGAGATGTTGCACTGAGGGATGTGGTCAGCAGGCATGGTGGGGGTGGGTTGGGTTTGGGCTGGATGATCCTAGAGATCTTTTCCAGCCTTTATGATTCTGTGATTCTACGATCCCCAGAGCCTTCAGCTCCCCTCAAGCACTCTGGGTTGGGTTGTTGAGGTGCTGCGAGCAGCTCAACTGCTTTTAAAGCCACTTAATAAAGCTAAGCAGAAAATCTAAAATGAGTTAAAGGAAACTAATGTGAATCTCAATTTTTAAAATTCATAACATTTATCAGTGTCTGCATGAGGCAGCACAACAGAAGTAAACATTGACTCCCATTGACTCTGCTGGCACTGCTGACAGCAGAATCAGTCCCTCTCCCTGTCACTGAGCTGCTGTCTCTGGGCATGTTAGATGGATGTCTGTGCTACCTCAGCCAGGAGCTTTTCTCTTGTAAGGGGCAAAGATCCTCAGCAGTCTGAATGAGCAGGACGGAGGCACGTCCTGGTGCTCTGGGACGGAGCATTTGCTGGAGCTCTTTTACATGCTGTTCATCTCTGACATTCCCTGCTAGCTGCTAGAGTCCTGAACCTGCCAGAAGGGGAGGGATAATCACCTCTGTGCTGAGTCCTTCCTCCAAAGCAAAACGTTTCTAAAATCAGCAGTGTTAAGATGCCATTTCTGTCTGAGACGTGTTTTGAAACGGTTGTAAGGGTCAGAGAAATGATGCTGAAAATAACACCTTGATATTGCACTGCATTGTTTGCAGGAAAATTTCCCTCTGAGTTGTATCTGGTGGTGTGTCTGACAAAAATACAGCAGCCCTAAGTGGTCAGCAGGCAAGGACCTGCCAGGAGCTCACGCTGGTGGGATGCCCTGTTGCTCGGTCCTGGACACCCAGCTGGGGTTCTTAGGCATCTGATCCCATGGGTAGGCTGCCAGAGGATGAGGGTGGGTTGGGAGATGTCTCAGCACGGGGATGGATGGCCTGGCAAGAGGATCCCCCTTCCAACCTGCTGGCTTATTCCCAGGGGTGTGAAAAACAGTAACCTCTCAGTCTTGGGGAAGGACCCTTATGCTTTGCCTCCAATCATCCCCTAAAAATACTCTGCTGAATATTTGTTTTCTGAGCCCTTTTTCTCTGTAACATCCATCAGACTGCTGTCTTTTCATTCTTTCCTTCTCTTACAAAGTCTTCACTCCAATTCGCTCCTCCAGATGAGACCAAAAGCTGCTAGCATTTATCACTGTCACCACAGTATCCCTTTCTTCTGTTTGCTGACACTTCACCCACCGATCCCAATTACTGTCTGTCTTTCCTTCCATTCATACAAATCCCCCATGTAACTTTGGATCATCAATTTCCAGCAAATGGGCTGTTTGCAAGTGCCGTCCCTGCCTCACCCCTGGCTGAATGGTTGCCTCTGACATACAGCACCCCAACTGCTCCCAGGGCAGATGAATGAAACTTTGTCAGAGAGCACTGAATGAAGAAGAAAGAGCTCATTTCCCTCCCCAGATTCCTCCTGAATTCACGGGAGCTGAACAAATAGTATCAGAAAGTGTATCAGGTGAGTCCCAGATCCAGCACAAATTAAGCGCTGTCTGTAAGTGTAGAGCACTCATAGTGAAGCCCAAATTGTCAGAGGAAATGTGAACCTTGAGAAGGGATGCATGACACACATTTATGTGACTAGGCTTATCAGGCTATCCACAGGCTGAAGAGAGTCTCCAGTGCAATCACCAAGTCATAGAATCGTGGAATCGTAGACCAGTAAGATCACCAAGTCCAACCATCAACCCATCACAGCCATGCCCACTAGCCATGTCCTTCACATCCTTCTTGAGCTTAAAGTCATGCTCTTATTTTACTACTTGGAGCCCCAGGATGGTCTCTCCCCCCACCAGCACTGCACTCCCAGCTTATGGGACTGATGAAAAGTGAGGAGGCAGAAATTTGGCTGGGATCCCCTCATTACAACCCTGACAGTAGGCACATTAGGATGCTACTAATAATCCGTCAGCTTCTTAGCATATGATAGCTGCCTCCTAAAATATTAATCAAATCGTAACATGTGATCCTAAAAATAGGCTTTCCGATTCCACTCTGCTCTCTCCTTAAGGTTCCTTGGGTGGTTTGAAGTTGTGCTTTAACCTTTTCTGGCATTTCACTGATTATAACAACTACTTTTCCAGAGAACTGCAAAACCTGGTGCCCTTTGCCAGCATGTACACACACACACACACACACACACACATGTACACCTACACACAGCACTTTGCTTTCTCATTGTTTTGGTGCAAGGATCTCTTTGCCAGTATGCAAATATATTAATCCACCCAAGGAGATCAGAGGAATTTATTCTAAAATGCAGTGCTGCATAATCCCAGTACCCCTTTAGCTCTTCCCACTGCCTCGTCTTCTCCCATGCCCTCCAGGACAAGAGAGAAGACAGAAGCACATAGGCAGATTTTGGGGAAGCTGATGAGCATCCGCTCCCATCACAGGTCTGTGAGCACCCTGACTTCATTGCCTCCTTCTGCTGCCGCAATGCTAATGGATGAAGTTCTATAAATATTTGATTGACCTGTCACTGCCATGCTGCTCTCATTTATCACTTGCTCAAGTCGGATCTGAATTACTTTGGAATATTTTGTGCTGTCTTTACATAGTGTTCAATTCTTTCCCTGTCTCCCCCACCAGCCCCAGCCCAGAAGTGAGCAGCTCCCAAAAATGCTGAGGAAATGGAGCTGAAAGCCTGGGGCAATGGGGCAGAGAAGGTGAATCTAAGGAGATGCAGAAATGAACCAGACAGGGCAGGGAAATGTACGGAGAACCCACCCAAGCCGGTATGTGAGGGAGTGCATACCACAGCATATGAGATCAACAGCCCCTTTCTGCAATTTCCATAGTGCTGAGTCCCAGAAGAGGGTTACAGATTTACAAGGAATTCAGGTAATTTGCTCGTCATGTTACCCATAGGAAGTGAGTAATTGTCCTGTGCTCACTGCTCTAATCAGAGCCTGGGTATTTTAGTAGCGAGGGCTCTGGAATATATTAGGAGATGCAGTCCATACAATCAAATTCTATTGTGTTCATTTTCACTCCTGTCTTCTCTAGATTTTTACATTCAGGATGAAATCAGCAAATTTTAGAGCTTGCTGAGATTGAAACGATGGTGTTTAGCGATGCAGCCACGAGCACGCAGAGCCCAGCACTGCTTTGCTCCCAGTAATGAGTCCCCCCGGGGGGTCACAGCCCCCACTGCATGGGGCTGCCCAAAGCCCTTTGCCTTGTGGTAAATCTGCTAACCCCACTCCAATCCCTGCTGAAAACACCTCCAGCTGTCTCCATGGGCATTTACACAGCCAGTCCAACCTCATCATCTTATCCATGAGTGCCACATAGCCTTTCACTGTACACCTATCCTGCAAAACCCCAGGCTGAACCAGCTCTTGTGGTGTCGTTGGCATCCACATCCCATGGGATGGACTGCCCTCTGCGCAGATAAATCCTTTTCTCAGTTCTCAAAAAACAAAAGCCTGACACATCGAGCAATTTCTATCATTCCAACGACCCCTCTCATTAGCTCTCTCCTTCTGCCTCCTCCCTTCCTCATGTCAGCAATATGCCGATCCATCCTGCTTATACCAGCTCTTACCTATACTCCAATTACTTTTTCATCTCCCCCACCGGCTGTTTTCAATACTATTATCTGCTGCACTTGCTGGATCTGGCTTTCAGGCGTTTGACTGATGCCTGATTCCTGTAACCAGAACATGTCTGTTGATTGGACTGTCAATGGATTTCTTGGCAGAAAGGGCACTGGGTCTTGCAAATGTGAAACTGTATTTCAATCTCATTTAGATGGAAAGAGAAAGGAGAAGGAAAAATATCCTAAAGCCACATTTTTTCCTTGCTCTCTTTGAACAAGTGCTTTAAGTAAACAAGTGTTTTTGCCTTTTTTAATAAGGTCATCCGTGACATCACTTTCTTATCAGAAAAGGAACATTTTGTGTTGTGTATTTCTAGCACTGGAATGCCCATCTTGACTTTACAGCAAACAGTTTCTACTGATTCATCTCTGGGGAGGAAAAGGAAGTGGGAAGGAGATGCACATCCATCCCTGTCTCCTGGCTGCCTGCAGTGACACCTTGCTGTAACAGAGAGCGCCAAGCCACCTCCTGACCAGCCCTCTGCATGCCTGCTCACAGCCAGAGCCTCTCTGCAAGAATGCACCTTTGACTTTCCTAAATAACAATGCAATTACCTTCAAAAGCTGGCAGCCAAAGTACGTGCTGAGAAATGGCTACCATTAAGAAGAAATTATCCGCTCTCAGGGAACGGCCGATTTGTTAACTCGTGAAGGAGGAGAACGAGCCCAGCTCCAGACTATGTAGGCGTTGAGGTTGAGAATGAGGTGGGAGAGCTGCTGTTTTCAACCAGCCTGGGCACAGAGCTGGAGAAAGCCCATGAGGTTTGAAAGAAGAGCCCTGAATGAATTGGATCAAATGTGTTTTGCTGCTGTCTTGTACAGGTGCAGATCAACAGGTACATGCTAGGCAGTCCTCCTCCGTGGATGGGGCAGGTGTCTCAGGGTCATGCCCTCCATGATTCTTCAGGAGTTGGACACAATGACCCCTCCAACTCAAGACATTTTATGATTCTACATGAAGGCATTTCATGGGGAACCTCCAAAGAAGTTCCATTATTGAGACCTGCACTCAAATGCATCCAACCTTGTCACTTGCCTGTGACTAAAAGAAGGTGCCAGTATTACTCGTATCTCCTGATCTTGCAAAAGCCCCTGAGGTCTGGGGCTGGGTTTGAAAAACAAAGTAAAAGCAGGGGAAGGCAATTTTTGAAATAGGAAGGAGTGAGGCATAAATAGATTATTTGAGGTTAGCTTCCATCAGTCTGTACATTTAGGGCTGGACAGGTGACTTCTCACACACTATATATATTTTCCTACTCAATTCTCAAGGGCCTTTCAATGCAGAAAGACACGATAACTGTGATATATGCAGAAAGATTTAGATTCTCTTTAAGATTAGAGGCAATCTTTGATATTGCACCAAGCTACAGAGTGAAGCATTCCTATCTGAATGCAACCCCCAGAAGTCCACCAGGGAGTTATCTTGGAACGCAGCTGAAATCACTGGTGCTGACTTGACTATGTCTGAAAATATTAGCATGTTCAAACTCGGAGGCTTGCTTGAGACATTTCTGGAAGATAAAAACAACCCTCAATGACTTGGAAACAGATCTGGTGGGCTTGCAGTGCTAAATAAATAGCAACAGAACTGGGAAACTTTGAAGATGACAAGATTTTCTAGGTCACGTTGTCTATTTTCCCCCTTGGCCAATGCAGGGTGTTTTGTAGAGTGTAGCCTTGAGACCTCCTTCCAAACCAGCCTTAAATGTTACAAGCTATGCATTTTGACAACTGCTAAGCTGATATGCACAGGCATTGTCTTTGTAGGTGCTGAAGCTGTTAGTGCATAGCTGTTAATCTAAGCAAGTACATTTTGAATATTTATTACCTTTTAAAGAAGAATGAGCTTGGGAAAAAAGAGTCTGGAAGCAGATTGGGCAGAAAGCCCTACATGAAAAGGGACAGACAACTACTTTCTTCTCCCTGAGCAGCACTGACCACACATTGCTGCTGTTCTTCTTCTCTTCTCATGTCTTCTGGATTATGGCTGAGTGACATGGGTTAAAGTGCATGTTGATGATGGGTTAATAGTTGGAATTGATTTTATGGTCTTTTCCAGAGTTTATGATTCTATGTGGAAGATGGCATGGACATAGTGCCCCATCAATGCTTCCTGGGGGAAAAACTGGAAAAGCACTGGAAAAACGGGCCAAGCTGGGCTTTGCTGCCTGAAAACCAGAGCAGAACCAGGCCTGCTGAGGGAAATAGGGGAAGGAAAGTGTTGAAAATGGGGATCAGAACATGGTGATGGAATCTGTGGATAGTCATGGTCTTTTGTCCTTGTTCAGAGAATAAAGCTTGTTTCCTACCTCTCTCCAGATTCTTCCAGCAGAGAGACTGTACAATCACAGGCAGCTGCACTGAGGAAAATGTAAATGCAATAGTAAACACAGACTTGGAGGAGCATCTGTTGCCTCCTCCAGGTCAAGCAGCGGTCTTGAAAGATTACCCAGCACGTAGAGAACTCAGAAGGAGCAAGGTGAGCACATCTACCAGTGGAATGCCTGCTCCTATGGAGGCACACCAGTCAGGTGAGATGATCTTTCAGCTCAAAATAATATTCTGGGCTCATTTTACAGATGTTTATATCCAAAGCCAGAACTGTATTTCCCATCCAAAGAGCTCCAGCTGCAGACATATCCAGGGGAGCATCAGCCTTTTCTGCAGCAGTGGTTGTTGGTACCACCTCACTGTGCTGCCGATGTCCACCATGCAATGTGCCACTGCATGGTGCCAGAGAGAAGCATGATTAAGGGAAGGCTGGCAGAAAGGAGAGAGAATGTATAGCATAGAATCCTGGAAAGCAGCAGCATCAGCAGGCCAAGAGGAGGTTATTCCCATGATACATCCCTATTTCCCCCTCCCCATCATGTCAGCAGCCTCTTTAGCTTCACACAGAGGTTGTGAGGATTCATTAGTTAATGTTTGTAAAGCACTATATAGATGGAGAGAGCTATGTAAGTGCTAAGTATTATTATTATTGCAGAGAGTCGCTGTTAAGGCAATGGATATGCTCTTAAGTGTCATTTCGTATTTAATTAACGTGCAATAATTGTCTTCCAAAACCTGGAGGTAAATCTTTATTCTTGACACTTCTTTTAAAGAGACATTGCAGCAGAGCTGCCGGTAATGGGCCTTCTCTCTGGCATAGGAGGAACAGGATGAGCTGGGAGCTGGAAGGAAAGGGAGGTCAATGAAGGACTTTTTTCTTCTTCACAATTCCACAAACATGCTACGGATCCATGGTGAGTTTGGGTTTTGACCACTGAGCTGCCCCAAGGGATGCTGACCTGATGAGGGGTCGGCAGCCTTCCACTTGGGCTTTCCCTGTGCCAGGTATCGACTGAGCTCTGCCTGTCTCAGTAACTGAACCCAGCTGTAGCTGTGCACCTTGCCTCTGTGAGTAGAATAAAAGAACTAAAAAAGCAGGATGGAGATGATATCACAGTACTGGGAATTTCCCTGCTATTTTTCAGGAACATCTTTGCCAAGAAGTGGTATTCTCAGAGCTAGGTTGCGTATCTTCTACTGACAGAGGGAAGCAAGGAGAAATCAGCTGTGGGGCCATCTGCTCCTTGAGCAAATGGGAAGGGGAAGCCACCTCTCCCACCTCCTCATGATGTTTGCATTTCCGAGAGAGACCAGAGAAGTAAAAAAAGAAGCAGTCCATCATTAACTCAGAAATAGCCCGCCTACAGAAGCTGCAGAAGGATGCTGGGCCCTTTGTGCCTGTCTTTTTTTTTACCCAAGTGTGTAATTTCTCACTTGTTTGTTGACAAATCAGTGCCCTCTATGGGCCCTTGGCTGGCATCTCTCTGAGGAGCCCAAAGGGTGGGGTTGGGAAGAGCAGGATGCTCCAAGGGAGCTGCAGTGGTGCCAGTCCCCTTGTCCTCACCATCTTACAGAGGCAGCCCCCCTACCCACATCACTCCCACACACTTGTGTGCCCTTCCTGCCCCTTTCTGATCACTGAGATGCTCCTCATCAGTGCTAAGTGCTCTGAAGGTCACAGGCTACGCAGCTCCCGACATCACCGAGGATCAGGCTTTGGCCTTGCTGCCACCCCCCTGTTCCCCTCGAGACCCCTGAAGTGACAGAACCTTGCAGCTCGCTCCTTGCCTCCCCCTCCTGCCTCCCACTTCCTTCTCTCACTCTCATTTATTTCAATTTGCTATGCTTTCTTTTCTGGCTTTCAGCATTAACTGGGCAGGGGGAGAGGAGGGTGGAGGGATGGTTTCATGGTGGAGAGGTGGGGAAAACCTTGTATGATGGTGGGTGAGGGTCTGCAGGTCAGATTGGAGGTTATGGGGAAATCAGTCAACTTTTTAGGCTGATTTTGGGTGTAACTTCCCATGATTCAAAAATAATGGAGGTCAGTGAATTGGCAAAGTGCTGTCAGGACCTCAGGATGCCCTCATAGTAACTTGGGCTGCTCTATTTCAGAGCCTATTCATGGGAGCCAGGACAATGTGTGCTCAGGTAGAGGAGGCAGTGGGGTATGGGCTGCACTGCTGGGTGAACGGTATATCTGTGAAATTCATCCTGAGTGCAGACAGAGTGTTTCTGTGGTTTGTGGCTAAAAGGGATGTGTGTCTGCTACAGCACTGCTCAGCCTCTCTGCTTCTTCTGCCCTTATCCTTGTGGCCCCAAAATGCTCCGCTTGCCAGGAATGTCCCCCACTCACTGCAGCCATCTGAGCAAACACGGGATCTGCACTCATCACCTCCTGCTTCCCTCCCTTTGACTGTGCTGTCACAGACTGCCACACAGAAGCTTTTGTTCCAAGTGCTACGGCACTGCACGTAATCCAGGTGACTTACAGAGCGATTCAGCTCTCCGGTCTTTCACAAACCCAAATCAGTGTACAAGCCCTACCCATTACAACTGAAATTCCCACACACGGCTCATGGTGTCTGTAGCACTCCCTTCCCTGAACCAGCCTGATGTGCCACGTTACTGCCATGTTAACCAAAAGCCCATTTCAGTGGCTTCTTGTCCTGTGTTCTCTGCAGATCCTCAGGGAGATGGTTTGCTGGGTCTGTTCTCTTTTATTCCCTACAAATCCCTCTACAATGGCTGTAAGAAATTCCTAGGCTAGCCAATTCCTTTGTGGGTTTTGTTTGTTCTTTGTACTTATTCAAGCTGAAGTCTAGAGAGGAGAAGCGGAGCAGATGCACTTGAAGGGCAGAGCTAAAAAGAGGACATTCCATGTTAGCATATAAAATCAAAATGTGAAACCATTAAAAAACATGGCAAACAGGTGACAAAAAATGTATATACTTACTGCCAACACGAGCTCCTGTCTGACATGCTGAATTATAGCATGCATTTTTAATCCATCTTTGGAGCAGAGATTCTACCAACCTCTCTCTCTAGAAATACATCACATGCATTTTGGATACTGCTGCTGGTTGATATTATCAATACCCTCTTTTCCCCAAGAGCTTTCTTCAACAGTCATCACCCTGCATTGCAGGTTGTCCGACAGAAAATTGGAATGGTAATGAAGAATAAGAGGAGAGAAAGCAAAAAAGAATACTTCATACTCACATCATAACAAATCTCAAAGAGAAGGGGATGGGAGATAATGTCACTGCCAGTTCAAAAGGTAGATACGAAAATATAATGAAGGTGCTTGTATTTCAACACGTTGTCCAGAAAGTGCACTAGCATCTGAAAGTATAAAAATACTCAGAACAATCTAGCATTTTCAGGACGTGTGTTTCTACCTGTTAAAGGGAAAGGCAAGAGAGAGAATCCAGTTGCTATGGAAATCAGGCCATCTCCATGGGAATTCAGAAAGTAGAGTATCCTCTTGGCCAGTAAATCAGACACTGAGCAGCCATTTCTGGTCCATGGCACTGAGCAAATCTAAGCTGCTCACAGGACAGTTTATTTCCTCAGCAGTGCTGCCCTATTTCAGTATCAATGAAATTGGTGAAAAAAGGTGAAATTAAGAATTTGTTCTGTGGAATATAGAGAAGGTTCAGGAGAGAACTGATAGCAACCTTTCAGTATCTAAAGGGGCAGACTACAGTAAAGAAAGGGACAGATTCTTTAGGGTCTGTTGTGACAGGACAAGGGATATGGGTTAATTTCCCCTAAATGGAAAGAGGGAAGATTTAGACTGGATATAAGGAAAAAAATTTGTACATTATGGCCAGTGAGGCTCTGGCACGAACTGCCCAGAGAGGTGGTGGTGCCCCATCTCTGGAGACAGCCAAGGTCAGGCTAAATGGGCTCTGAACAGTGTGAGCTGATGGAGCTATGGGTGTCCCTGTTCATTGCAGGGACAGCTGGACCAAATGGCTTTTAAAGGATCCTTCCAACTCAAACAATTCCATGATTGTCTGATTCTCCTGCATGTTTCTGTGGAGGTGTGCCATGTGTCTTTGCTTTAGCTACAGTTATTGGGATATAGATTTATGTGGCTGGAAAAAAAAATGGAACTCCTGGTTTTGCTTCTCAAAAAAAAAAAAGTTTTTGTTCACATTAGTTGCTGTGGAATAACAAAGGATCAGGTAGGTGTGTAAGCAGGAAGTAAAAGGAAACAAAGGCCACATTAAAGAATATAAAAAGCTGATGTACAAACCCACACCTCGTTCAGGACTCCTTTCTTTGAGCTAATGGACAAATATTCATGGTGCCACTGGGGGGATCCAGTTCCCTTGCCATAGACAGCAGCCTCTAGCTCTGCTGCTCCTGGGTACCAGTGAATGCTTAGATGTTGAGGCCCCACAGAGGCCCCCCAGCACAGCTCTTCCAGACAGTGCCCTATGGCTAGGTTCACTCTGCTGTCACCTGATGGATGAGATTGAGAAGCTTTGAGACTTTTGAGATTTTTATGCTTTGCTACAGAGCTTTCTTCTGTTTCATCATTGCATTTAATCACTGGTGGGCAACTGGTCCCTAGAGCCCTGGAGGTTGGGTACTGCTGGAGTTGAAAGCTTTGGCATGAGCGCCAATGTGCAGACGATGGAAAAGCAGGTGATGGATTTACAGTGCTGAAATCCTTGCTATGACTGCTATGCAAACACCATATATTATAGCTGTAAGTCCTGTATAAGCCAAGAAGATTAAAAAACACCTTGTAGAAGAGAGCCCCGGTCGGATATGCCTTTGTTCACGAGGACAGCTATGCAGTGCTACTAATGCATGGGTGTCATTTAGTGCAGGGGGAGTTAATGGGGCTTTATTTGAATATATCTCAGCCGTGTGAGTAAGGCTCACAGGCAGAAGTGTCTGTCTGGTGTACGTGTGTTGGAGGACACTGTCTGACATTGATGGAAAGCTGCTTGATAGAGTTTCATCTTTCAATTCATTTAGATTTTTAAAGCTCAGGTTAAGTTGCCCAACTTAATTTGCAATCATTTAAAGTAGGAGTTAAGTGAAGGTCACAGGCTGCTCTAAATTAGAGGGAAACCACTGTAGCACTTGCATGCTTTGACCTTTTCAGCGTTTTCTGACTCTGCTGACCAGCTGAGCCCTTTATAGCACTGTTAACCTGTGAGAAATGTGTGAAGTGGTCATTTCCCACAGTAAAGCAGGAAATTTTGAAAGGTTAAAGTAGCAGTGAATATTCCTGGCAAGAGCAGGTACGGAATCCCTTGGAACTGATGATTTGTATGTACGTGTATCTTCCTGCTCTGCAGTGTTTGTGTTAGAAGGAAGGTGAAGAGGATGCAAAGCAGGGCTGTAGGCAGCCCACCCGAGCTTTGCCTGTAGGTTATCCCAGAAATCAGCTTGATGCAGAGGGTACTCCAATACCCACAGGAATCTGTGCTGTCTCAGAGCTCTAAAAAAATAATACTACGAAAATGCCAGAAGTAACATCATACTCAGGATGTGGGTCTTTCCTAGATCCCGTATGCAGAACTTGGGGAAAAGAGATCTCAGTGTTCCCCCACCCCTAGAGGTGGTCAATGCCAGGTTGGATTGGCCCTGGGCAGCCTCATCTGATGGGTGGCAACCAGCCCATAGCACGGGGTTGGTCCTTTCCAATCTAAGCCATTCTATGATTCTGTGATGTACCTTTACTTAACAGCAGTGAGCCCAGATAGTGTAGTAGATGGGATGTGCTATCGCAGTGCTCAAAGAGTAAAATCCCCATGCTCCATGCCCCATCTTTTTTATGCACTTGTTTTCTTCCTTCTTGGTGTTTATGATCCAGCTGCACGTTCTGCAGCTCTCTCTTCTGCCTTTACTGAGGTAAAATGGAAAAGTCATAAAACCAGGCTGCCATCAGTGTAGCTTCCTGGGGCTGCCATAACAAGAGGTTTCTGGTCCTCATGATACAACATCTTGGTGGCAGTGTCTAGTCCGACTTTCTTTGTGCAAAGGGCCAACATAGGACAGCCCCTTTCCTCCATTTACTCCTCATCACTGGGGTACAAGGCAGCTGTCAGATGCTCATTTGGATTTTGTGGATATCACAGATACCCAAACAAAGGGCAAAGAAGCAAAGACAAAGGGCAAAGAAGGAAGCAGTTTGCTTTGGGAAACAAAAGGAGCAACACGCTCTAAATATACAGTAAGGGTCAAAAGTCTCTGCTGTTGCCTTAGGACTCCTGACTGCTGCAGGCTAAGCCACCAACTCTGAGATCTGTGTAAGAGGGCAGAAGGAAATAGCTCATCGTTAAACATTCAGTTTGTCTAATGCATTGGTCAGGGGCTGACAGTTTCCATTCTGGAGCTCTCAGAAAATAAAGCAGCTCCTGAGCATCCCTGCAAGGTGGTGTGGGTCACGCCAGCCTCCTCCATCCCCATGCAGCTTGGAAGAGCACAGAAATGCCATTTGCCTTTCCAGACCACCTTCCAGCATGGCAGGGAAAGGGCTGGCGTTACACATGCTGATAGCAATAGTACATGATATTCAGTCAGCAGTTTGTTGCAATCAGAGCTTCTGCTGAGCACGTCCAAAGCCTGCCCCTTTCCTGTTAATTGAATGTAAGCCCTTTGGTACTTCTCTCCCTTTGATCTCTCTCGGAATGAGACGTAAGGCTATTAAGGCAGAGGAACCTGCAAGCACAATGCTGGCAGTAATCTGTGTCAGGATGAAGGGATGTTACGCAAGAGACCAGGAATGAGATGCAGTGTGATTTTTTTTCTTCCCCCCCTCCCCCCCCCCACGTTTTCTCATCTAACCCCAAGGGGTTCTTTGTAATATTCACCGGATGGCAACT